ATCTTGAGTCTATGCATCTGTTTATACAACCCAGGATTGTATTAGCCTTTTTGGTGGCAACTGCACACTGCTGGTTCACATTCAAGTGATCATACACACCAGGATTCCAAAGTCCTTCTCACAGCTAATGTTTTTGAGCCAGGTCTTGCCTAATCTTTACTTATACCTTTGATTTTTCCTAAATGTAAAATTTTGCTTTTCTCCATGTTAAAATTCATTTTATTGAATAGGGCCCATTGTTCAAGTTTGCCAAGATCTTTTTGGATCTTGAGCTTGTCTTCTGGGGTGTTCGCTATTCCTAATAGTTTAGTATCACCTACAAATTTGATGAGTTCCCTTCTATTGCCTCATCTAAGTCATTAATGAAGTTATTGAAGAGTACTGGGCCTAAGATGCAGCCTGGTGATACCCCACGGGTTACTTTTCTCCATGTGGATGTAGTACCATTAAGGACTACTCATTGAGTACAGTTTGTCAGCCAGATACAAATCCATCTGGTGGTGATGTTGTCTATTCTACATTTTTCTAGCTTACCAAAAAGTAGATTGTGGTCTACTTTGTCAAATGCCCTACTGAAATCTAAGTATACAACATCCAGAGCATTGTGCTGATCTACTAATTTAGTGACTTTATCAAAGAATGATATAAAATTGGTTTGTCATGATCTGTTTTTAACAAACAGGTGCTGGCTACTAGTTTAATGGTGGTATTCAGCCAGTTCACACCGGATCGGGCGAACCGGTAGGAAGAATTTGGCGTGGGTCATCAAACCGGTAGTAAGTTCTGGCTGGCCACGCCCCCAACCCAGTCACCCTCCTGCCTGATGCTCACTCACCCGGCCCGCCTGCCTGACATTCGCCTAAGGTATTTCTTTCTTTTTTCTCCCTCCCGACAATCAGCTGTAGATAAGATCAGCTGTGCCGGGATTCCCCTTGCTGAGGCCCAGGAAGGCAAAAATGGAGGGAGGAGCTCAGCCCCACCCTCCATTTTTTGCCTTCCAGAGCCCCAGAGGAGCCTTAGGAGAACAAAAACGCCCCGCAGAGGCTTCTCTGAGGCTAGGAAGCTCCCAAAATGGAGCTTGGAGGGGTGCTGCATGCCCCTCCCATGCTCTGTTCCTTTTCTTCCTGAGCCCCAGAGGAGCCTTAGGGGAGCAAAAACGACACCCCCAGAGGCTCCTCTGTGGCTAGGAATCTCCCAAAAATGGGCAGGGGCTGCAAAAAAGCCACGGCCACCCAGTCACATGGCCACGCCCACCAAGCCATGCCCACAGAACTAGTAGTAAAAGTTTTTGAATCCCACCACTGTACTAGTTATAAATTTATTTGCTTCTAGTTGTTCGCAGATCTGTTTTTTATTATCATTTCCAGGATCTTCCCAGGTATTGAAGTTAGACTGATTTGTCTGTAGTTTCCTAGGTCTGTTTTTTAAAAAAAAAACTTTCTTGAAGATGGGAACTACACCAGCCTTTTCCAGTCCTCAGGTACTTCCCAGGTGCTCCAGGATTTTGGAAAGATATCATATTATGGTTCTGCCAGCTCCTTCAGAACTCTGGGCTGTAATCTGTCAGGTCCCGGTGATTGATATGACATGGTCAGATAGGTGTTCTCTTACTATTTTCTTGCTTATGTTAATTTCTATTTCTAGTTTGTCTTTTACAGTAGGTTTTTTTTTTTGTATGTTGGGCTATAATTTCTTTTTGCATGAAGACTGATGCAAAGAATGAGTTAAGGAGCTCTGCTTTCTCCCTACTGCCAATTATTTCCTTGCCATCCTCTCTCTTTAATGGATAAGTCCTTGACTTTTTTATTTATTTTTTGCTGTTAATATGTTGAAAGAAACTTTTTCTGTTATCTTTGACTTTTGTAGCAAGCCTTAGTTCGTTCTGAACTAAAGCTTCATCTTTGTATGTTCTGGCGATCTGCCGATAATTAGCCTTAGTTATGTGTCCCTCTTTCTATTTTTTGTATTTATCTTTTTTGTCTTTCAGTTTGTCAGAAGGAAATTTGTGCAACCATTTCTTGTTTTTCTTTTTTAGTGGTATTGTGCTGGACTGGGCTTTTATGATTATATTTTTCAGAAATTTCCATGCTTGAATTGTTTTCCCCTTTAGGATTTTCATCCATGGAATTTTTCCTATGCTCTGAGTTCATTAAAATCAGGTCTTTAAGACACTGATTGGATCATTTTCTATTGCTTGTGTTTGCATTATATTGAATTCCAGTATGACGTGGTCACTTTCACCCAGAGTTCCAGCAACTTCTTACTCCCCCTATCACTTCTTCTCTATTAGTAAGAATTAGGTCCAGTATAGTTTTACTTCTAGTTCTCTCCTCTGCCTTTTGGATGATAAAGTTATTGGCTAGGTTTACGTATGTAAGTATGTATGTATTTATTTATTTGTCAATCACTTACAAGATGATAGATATAAGAATAAACATGAGTATGAATACAGGAAATAGGTACAATAAATGGGGACAACAGACAGGGATGGTAGGCATGATTGTGTATTTATGCACGCTCCTTACAGACCTCTCAAGAATGGGGTGAGGTCAATAATGGATAGTTTAAGGTAGTGGTTTCCAAAGTGGGTGGTACCGCCCTCTGGGAGCGGTGGGATGCCTTAGGAGGGTGCTAAGAGGAGCTGGCCCCACAGGCTCACTGACTGCTGGTCACACAGCCCATTGACTGTTTCATCACTCCGTAGCCAGCGCCTCGAATGCAGAACCCATGTGCAGCGAGCCTTGCTAAGCCTGCGGGGGAAAAGGTGGGAGGTGGCACAAAGGGGGCGCCTTAGCTTGCAGGTTGCCCCCTCCGGTGGAAGCAGTGGAGGTGCACTAGAAGGCTCGAAAGCAAAACCCTCCCAAGGCGTGCAGTGGAAGGGGTGGGTGGTCCAGCGTTAGGGCCCCCTTTCCTGGAGAACAAGGGAGTGTTCAGCACCTGCCCAGCCTCCGCAGCACCTGCTAGGCCTCCGCCTCTCCAGCCACCTGGGCTTGCACACAGGATGTGGGTGGGTGCAGCTGTGGCTCTCCAAGGTGCGTGGGTCAGTTCAGTTCGGCTCTACGTGGCCGACCTGGACCTAGAACCTAGCTTCCCTTTGCAGCCAGGTTCTTCCGACCGAGCCCTGTGCTTGCTTGCTTGCTTACTTTCCAAGTGATCGTTCCCTCCGCCTCTGCCAGTCTGGGCTGCTTACGCATGCCTTCCTCCTCCTGGGTGGAGCGTAAAGATGGGCAGAGCGCTTCCCCAAAGTTGGGAGTCTCTGAGCATGTGCAGAGTACCTCCCCTTGCTTGTCCCGATGGAAGTGGACCTTGGGTCGAAGCAAAGAGGGTCAAGTCGGCCACATCGCTGCCCTGGGGAGGTTGGCATTGCAAAATTGGATGCCAAAGAAAGAACTGGGGCAAGGGGCTGGAAAAGGGGCAGAGGGGCAGCTGCATTAAGGAGCAGGAAGCTTTACTGACAAAGCCAGAATCAAACAGCATGCTAAACTCTAACCAGAATGGCTGGGTTGATATATTCAGCCCGTGTTTCTCAACCTTGGCAACTTGTGTGGACTTCAATTCCCACTCTGGCTTTGCTCTACTTTCCCAAAGTGCCACCACTGTCGCATTCTTTCTGTCTGTCTGTCTGTCTGTCTTATCCATCCATCCATCCAAAAGGTCTGCCTTCCTGCCTGCCTTCCTGCCTACCTACCTGCCTGCCTTTCTGTCTACCTACCTATCTACCAATATAGATCTCTCTCTCTCTCTCTCTCTCTCTCTCTCTCTCTCTCTCCATCCATCCATCCATCCACCTATCCATCTACCTACTTACCTACCTACCTACCTACCTATCCATACATTCATCCAAAAGAACTGCCTGCCTGCCTGCCTGCCTGCTTAGGTCATTTGATATGAGTACTCCAATGTCCTTGACAGAGTGAGGGTCATCAACAAGGTCATATCCATCTAGCTTGTACTTGGTGTACTGATTTTTTTTACCAACGTGTAGGACAGAGTATTTGTTGGTCAAGATTTGGAGTTGTTTTGACCAAACACATAATCAAGGTCGCTTTGAAGGATGGTAGCATTGTTGTTGGTGTTGAATAGTTTTACGTCATCAGCGAAGCGACCAGAGTTGCTTATAAGGTGATCGCAAAGGTCATTTATGTGGAGTATGAAGAGTGTGGGTCCTCGAACGCTGCCTTGGGGGATACTGCTGTTAGCTGGTGCAGGTTAAGGTTTGTTAGGAATCTATTTGATCTCCCACTCACTGCAGAGTTGGTCTCCCAATTGATATCTGGATAAAGTCTCCTATTATTACTGCGATATGATTCCTACATATATTTGTTAATTGGGTAGCAAAGAGTTTGTCTATTTCTTGATTGGTTGGGTGGCCTGTACACCAATGGCAATGTCACTTTTTTCCCTTTTATATTGACCCGTATACATTCTGGATGAATTTAATCTTTGATCATGTGCATTTCTGTAGATATGTAGTGGTCTCTCACATATAGTTTCAACTCCACCTCCTCTTTTTGTTGATCTGTTTCTTTTGAACAATTTGTACCCATCTATCAGTACGTTCCAGTCATGGGTTTCATCCCATCAGGTTTCTGTAATGGCAACTTTGTCATACCTACCCATGTGTACTATTGCTTCTAGTTCACCCTGTTTGTTCCCCAAGCTTTGAGCATTTGATAGTACTTTTTGAATGAACAAGCAAGTATTAATGACCATTTAAGACTTTTATGACTGTCCCTGGGTATCGTTCCTAAATCTCCTAATTGTTGTTTGGGTTTTTCTTTTTTTCCCATCACTCCCTACCTCATTGTTTGATTTGTTTTCTTGGGATTGGTTCCCAAGCAATTGGTTCGAGCGGCCAAAACTTTTTATCATGAAGGAAGAAAGCAAGCATAACAAACACTGCGAGGGAGGGAAGGCTGTAGTTCACTCACACTACTTCTTTCCTAGGTCGAAGCGGCGCTTCTCCACTGCCCCAAAGCAGGCCCCCGAAGCCGAGATGCGGCTGCCTATGGTATCTCCGCCCTTCCCTCTCGAGTTTGCTTTCACTTTCGGAATCGCGGGCCCACCGGCCGGTCTTCAACGAGCGGCCACCAAAGGGTTTTGTTGGTTTTGCTCCGACAGAGTCTGAGGCGGAGAAACGGACCGCTCCTTGGGCAGGTGAGCCAGGCATGGGACCAACTGCTGTACGTACTCCAGGGAGGGAGGAGGGAGCGAAGGAAGGAGCCTCGGCCGCAAAGCGCTGACTTCGCGGCAGGAGCCGAGGAGCCTTGGGGAACGCCCGTTGCGCCCAGGGGTTTTGCCTTGGGGGCTTCGGCGAGAACCAGGCCTGGCACAAGCAAGTTGTTTCCCCCCCCCCCTTTTCGAAGAGCCCGGAGCGGGGCGTTTCCTCTTTGCCACTTTCCAAGACTGGCAGAGAGAAAGGCGAGGCCGAGTTTTGGGCTGAGGTTGGAAGAAACGGGGCGAAACTGCGCCGCCGCGTTTGGCACGACCGCTTTTCCTGTGGCGTGAAGCAGCGGCCCGGCCCGAAGGAGACGGGAGGCCACCCCGAGACCGCGCGACACTCCGCGCGCTCTTCGACCCTGAAAACGGCCCCGTGCTCCCCTCGGCCGCAGGGCCGCAGCGAGCGAAGGATTTAGCCGAGCATCCTGTTGAAGGGTGGAGGGAGGGAGGTTGCTGCAGCCTCAGCGTCTGCTGCTTCCTGCCACCGCAAGATGACAAAATAACCGAAAAACTCAGAGCCGTCTTAGCCCTAAGCGTTGATCTAACTTGCCGCCGCTCGTCCCTGAAACCTGCAACACACACACACACACACACAGCAGCTCGTGCAGGGACGCACCTGAATAGCTCTGCGCATTCAGACGGAGCTGCCTCATGATGACTAATACGGGTAGATCTCGACCTACAGCAGTTCGTGTAGTTCAAAATTACAACGGCACTGAAGACAGTGACTTAAAACCATTTTTCATCGATACAGTCTTTGAAGCATCACTATGCTGGTGTGATCAAACTTCAAATGCTTGGCAGTTGGTTCATACTTATGACGGTTGCTGTGTCCCAAGGTCACCTGGTCCCCTTTTGCAACCTTCTGACAAGCAGAGTCAAAGGGGAGGCCAAATTCACTTAACCGGGTTGCTAACTTATCAACTGCGGTGATTCACTTAACAAATGAGGCAAGCAAAGTAGTAAAATGGGGCAAAACTCACTTAACAACAGAAATGTTGGGTCAATTGTCATAAGTCGCAAACTATCTTTACGGGTCTCTATGACAACCAGTGCAGGGAAGGGGGAGAGGTTGCGGTTTCCTTTTCGCCTTTTGCCCCAGAAAGCTCCATTGAAGAAGGCAGATTTTGCTTACAGAATTAGGTGGGGGGGAATCATTTATTTGTGAAAGAAATTCAGAGTCCAAGGCAGCTTATTCTCTAGCAAATGATCTTCTTACATTTGCTGGATACTAATAATTTATTAAACCCTTAATTCATGCTATGGAGGATCTTAATGTAAAGTATGGTAAATTTATCAACACGTACCTTTTTAAAATAAATGTGAAGACAGCAATAATACTTGCTTCTTCATTCAAAAAGTATTATTTCCTTCCAGATAACACAAGGCACATTATTTGGAAATTCAGCATAGATGCCATGGCCTTTCAGAACAAAATAAAAAGAGGAAGATAATGCAGATGTAAGGTTGTTTGCACTCAAGTATGGTTTTGTGATCTGGTTTCAGTGCCAGTCACTTCCCATTTGTTGTGAGAATCAAGTAGTTGTTTTTAAAAGCTTGGGTGCCTAAATCAGAAACTTTACCTAAAAAACTTTCTAAAGCAGCCTTCTTAGGCCAAGCTTCTTGGAGATCTGTTTAAAGTTGATGTGTCTTTACATGTGTAGGGAACACAGCATATATATCATGTGTCCTGTTGTCAGTCCTACCTAATTTGGAGAATAAAAGCATGCACAATTTGTTTTTAAGGTTTTTAATTAATTTTGAAAAATAATAATTCATTATTCTTTCATTTAGCATTTGTCTTATTTGAACCTTTTTCTTAAAATATATAACATTTTACATTCAGAAAAGAAAAATGTGTTATTACTGTTATAATTCTAAGATGTGATCTTAAATAGCTTTTTAGAAGGCATCTGCATGAAAGCAAAATTAGTGCAACAAGACAAAAAGTTTTGCTAATAAGTGTTCATATCCATGGGAACTTTATTAACATAAAATATTGTACCTTTGAAATACACCCCCCCCATTTTTCGAGATCTTTTTAAAATAAATATGAAGACAGCAATAATACTTGCTTCTTCATTCAAAAAATATTATTTCCTTCCAGATAACACAATGCACATTATTTGGAAATTCAGCACAGATGCCATGGCCTTTCAAAACAAAAAGAGGAAGGCAATGCAGGTTTAAGGTTGTTCACAAGTGTGGTTTTGTGATCTGGTTTCAGTGCCAGTCACTTCCCCTTTGTTGTGAGAATCAAATAGTTGTTTTTAAAGCTTGGGTGCCTAAATCAGAAACTTCAGCTAAAAAGCTTTCTAAAGCAGCCAAGCTTCTTGGAGATCTGTTTAAAGTTGATGTGTCTTTACATGTGTAGGGAACACAGCATATATATCATGTATCCTGTTGTCAGTTTTTGGAATTAATGTTATATCCATCTGCTGTCATTGTCAATGTTTGTGACTCTATATATTCTAAGTAGCAGCAAAACAAGAATATTCGGCTGTTTCAGGGCTGAAACTATCTCATCCCCAAATATCCCATTCTAGTCTCAGCAGAGCTGTTCCAATATCACCAAAGTATTCTAACATGTGGATAGACCATTCTGATCTTACCAGAAGTTGTCCCATCTCTAAACATTTTGTACATTTCTAATAAACATTTCAGCAAATGACAAGTGTTATAATTTGCTGTAACGCAAAAAGAGAGAGCATTCTTAGCTGGTTGGGCATGAAAGCCTACACTTCAGTACTATTGAAAGTCCTTTCTCATAGCTGTTGACTGTTGTGTTTCCAGTTTTTACACACCTTTGCACATTTTAAAATTACTATTATTTGTGCTGTTTTTGTCATTTGTTTGTCTTCGTCTGAGCTATGAAGACAGGAATTGTATGTCAATCAGAATAAGCTCAAATCAGAATGTCTTATAAGAATTGAAAAATAAACTGACAAACAAACTAACATTAACAACAAAGGTTGGTAACTGCTTCTACAGTTTGAAAAATTGGACCTTTACCTACAGCATAGCTTTGTCAGCTAATGTTTTACTTTCAAGGTTTATTAGAGTGTGTTCCTGATTTGATTTTAAAAGTCCCTCTTTAAGTGAGATGGGCAGTTCAGAAAGGTGAAAAATAAATGAATAACAAATTAAGTTATGCACTTTTGCCACATTGAAATCAGATAGCTCAGTTTATTGTGATCCTATTGAATTCAGTCAAAGCCAAGCTTGGCTTCTTTATCTTTCTTCTTTGTAATTGTGCATAGAAATTACTCTAAATAAGAGAAATCTATATCTGTGTGTTTATACATAAAATATGTACAGCCATCAGTGATTGTCTGAGTAAGGGTTCCAGGAAAAAAAAGATTCATTAATTTGGCTTCCTCTGTCTTTCAATTGCTCTGGTGCATTCTGGAAGCTGTGGTTGAACAAATGGATTGCAGTTTTGAATTGCTGTACCGCTGCTTGAATACTAAGTAACACTGGGTGGTGAGCTTTAAAAGTACTTAAAAGCAAAGAAATATCATGTCTTTGAAGTTTCAGTTCCCTCTTTTATAGGAACTGTTGTGCTATAAGTTGCACTTTTAGGCAGCTTATAGCATAACAGACAGCTGGAGAAAATGTTGATTTCACAAATTTAACAAGGAGCTCTTACATACAGTCAGTCTTCAACCTTGGAGTGTTACATTGAGTTATATCACATTGTATCCTTTGGCAAAAGCTTCAGTGACCAGAAGCTCTGTGTGTGGGTGTGGGTGTGGATGTGTGTGGTTGTGTTTGTGGATGTGGGTGGGTGTCTTCGCATACATTGTTTCTCATACTGTCCTGGAGTTCCTCCAGCTCTTTGGAGCAGACTTGAATAGCAGAGGCCTGCCGAGAAAAGAGAGATAACAGAAAATAATTTTCCTCTCCCACTTAAAAGCATCTTACATCAAAAAGCCTTATTTGAATAGGAGGATATAGCAAAGCTTTAACATTACAATGCATTAAATAGCCAAGTTTGTTATTATTTGAACACTGTTTCTTTTGGTCCATTGCAGATGCCCAACATCAACACTTCAATTGCTAGGATGTGTTTTTAAACTACAATGGCATTTTCCATGAAACCACTGAATGTCTGCAAACTTGGTAAGTTAAATTTAATTAGAGAGAATGTAGGGCGGGGTTTTTTTTGGCTGCCAGTTTCTTCTTTGTCGTGTGTTATCATTGTGGGAGGAGATTTGTCCAGGAAATGTGATCGCCTCCTTCCATCTGCCAAAAACAAATTGTTTATTTGAAGCATAGTATTGATAAACAGTCTTCAAGGTGATACATTAATTGAAGTCACAGCAATAGCAGTCCTACCTAATTTGGAGAATAAAATCATGCACAATTTGTTTTTAAGGTTTTTAATTAATTTTGAAAAATAATAATTCATTATTCTTTCATTTAGTATTTGTCTTAGTTGAACCTTTTTCTTAAAATATATAACATTTTGCATTCAGAAAAGAAAACTGTGTTATTACTGTTATAATTCTAAGCTGTGATCTTAAATAGCTTTTTAAAAAGCATCTGCATGAAAGCAAAATTAGTGCAACAAGAAAAAAAGTTTTGCTAATAAGTGTTCGTGTCCATGGGAACTTTCTTCACATAAAATATTGTACCTTTGAAATACCTCCCTAATTTTTCCAGACATTTAAGCTTTGCATAATACATGTCTTTCCTTAAGACGTTGTGGACCTTTCAACGCATAAGGTTTTTAAGAAGAGATTGGACAACCATTTGCGTGAAATGGCATAGATTCGCAGTGGTGGCTGACCTTTTGGGGCTCCTGTGCCAAAAATTGTGTGTGCGCTTGCATGCTTACGCTCATGTGCCAGCACCCAGAAAACAATGCGCGTGCCCCCATGCCCCCTACGCAATCCCTCCCCCTACCTGCACTGTGCCTCACATCTTATTTTCTGTGGGTTCGAGGCCTTTTTCGGCCTCCCAAAGGCGTGAGGAAGGCTTCTGCAGGCGGAAAACTAGCCCCATTTCGTCAGTTCCGGTATATTCGGAAAAACAGGAAGTGATGAAACTGGGCTAGTTTTCGGCCTGCAAAGCCTGCAGAAGCCTTCCTCACGCCTTTGGGAGGCAGAAAAAGGCCATAGAAAATCAGTGTGAGGCACGCACATGCACAGTGAGGTAAGTTTGCCTGCAGCTCACATGCCGGCACAAATGGCTCTGGCGTGCCATAGGTTCGCCATCATGGGCATAGAGTTTCCTGCTCGAGCAGGGAATTGGACTTGAAAGTTCCAACTTTATTATTCTGTTATACAATTATGTCACAGTAAATGTATATAATTGTCTGTTGCCCGGCAATCATAGTTATGATGAAAACAGAGAGTTATCCCTTTTCATGGTTGAATGGTTACTACGTTCTGTCTGAACATCTTTACAGTAATCCAATTTCCTGATATGTACAATCTTTTCTCACTGATTTACAGTAGCATCTGGCACTTATTTTTTCATCAGGATATAATGTTCTCTTGAAACTCACATTTGTAATAGACCAGTGGTGGTGAACCTATGGCACACGTGCCAGAGATGGCACTCAGAGACCTCTCTGTTGGCATGCGCACCGTTGCCCCAGCCCAGCTTGGTTGCATTTCTTGCCGTCGTTTGCAGGGAAACAAAAGTTTGTGGGACTAAAACAAAAAGTTCACTCAATCAATTCCAACTTCTCATGAAAGAAAAAGATCTTGCGAAGGTTTTTTTAGTCCCACAAACTTTTGTTTCCCTGCACACGATGGCGAGAAACTCAACAGAGAAATGCGACGGAGCTGGAAATCAGATAAGGCAAAGAAATGCTGGTGGCGGGGTGGGCAACCCACAGCTCCAGAGCCGCATGCAGCTCTTCCATCCCTCTGTTGCGGCTCCCTGTTGCCCTGTCACGACAGAGGGATGAAAGAGCTGTTGCCCTGTCATGGTGATGGCTGGAGCCTTAGTATGGGAGCGAAATGCCCCTGCACTTACCTTTGCTGCCTTCATCATGGTACATTTGCTGTTGCTGCCTCCATGGCCTGCCTGCTGCTCTCGCAGCACCTTGAGCAGCACAGTGAAATTTAATGCACTTCACCATGGGGGAGATGGGGTCCCCTTCTCCTGGAGCCCATTATGACGCAAAGCCACAATGCAACCCTACATCATCGTTGGTTCACTCTTGCCTCCCGGGTGTCAGTTGCTTTTCCTGCAGAGCTGCCAGTGTTGTGATGCCCCACCTCCCCGCCAGCCATTAGTATTCCAAATATCCACAGCTATTCCTCAGTAGCATGTTGAATGTCATTCAACTGGAGGGCCCATCATCCACCACTTTGTATTATTTATGCAGCTGGATTCCTTGGTACAATACTTCTCTTGCACAGAATGAAATGATGCATTTGCCATTGTCATTAAAGTAATAATCCAACTCCAGCATATTCTTATATTGTTGCTACCTAATACAGATCCCTGTTTTCTTTAGCTGGGCATTTCTTTAGTTTCATGTCTTGGATGACAAAGCTGGGAATACATACTTTTAGGGCACACTATGTTCTGTATATTAAATATCTAGTGATTGCACAAAAGAGGCTTAACTGATAATTTTTAATTATTCTATGAGGGCTTGTCTTTCATTTGCAAAACTTGCTGGTTGAACTAACACATTGTACTAAGCTAGAGTTTATGTTTATCATTGTTTGTTGAAAAGCTATGGTTATCTAGCTAGGAACTAATGCCAAAGCCCCCAAATTCTTTGCCTGCAAACCACAGTGGCTAGATTCACAGATACTGAACTAAAACCCACTGATGGCTTTGTACAATATGTGTTTTTCTATCAGATAGCTTTTGCACCTTCCACTCTTTGATCTTAACGTCATTCTTTTTTTTTATCTCTTCCTGTTTGTGGGTATTTGGCCAAAAGATAGCTTTTACAAACGAATAATATTATGTTGTACTTTCATAAGTCTCCCAACATAAAAGAAATGGTCTACAATAAATAATAAAACAAGAAAAGCAAATTTCAGGGTTTTTTAATTGTAGTGAGAGAAAGCCAAATGCTTGATTGTTATACAAGTACTCCTCAACCTACAGCCATAATGGAGCATGCCCATCATGGTCATAAGTCCTGACAGTCATAAAATGAGTTAGCCATATGTCCAATCCAATTTTAAGATATTTTTGTGTGGGTCATTAAGCGAATCAAAGATTCACCATGGCTGTTGTTTTGCCAAAAAACCAAAAATAACTGCTGGGTTTTGGCAAAACCATCATAAAACGCAGTCACGTGACTGTAGAATGCTGCAGATGTACATAAATGCAGCCCAGATGCTGTGTGGTCAAAGTTCAATTACCTGACTGCATGTGTGTGATTGTCAGAATTTTGAATTGAGGTTGTGAGTATCCCCTAAATAGGTCCATTGTAGCTTTGGACAGTCACTAAGTGTCCAGTTGTAAGTCAAGGATTAACTGTATCAAACAAAAACAAAAAATGTACTCCAGTAGGGTATGATCCAATTACAGTTAAAAATTAGAGAAAAGTGGCAAATTGCAGAAATACTATAAAGTCAATATATACAACAATACATTTACCATTGTCCTAAAAATACTACTTACAAATATAAAATCTATACCTATCTTCTACCTGACATTGCTAATAAAATACATTGCTCAAAAAAATAAAGGGAACACAAAAATAAGACATCCTAGATCTGAATGAATGAAATATTCTTATTAAATACTTTGTTCATTACATAGTTGAATGTGCTGACAACAAAATCACACAAAAATTATCAGTGGAAATCAAATTTAGCAACCCATGGAGGTCTGGATTTGGAGTTACACTCAAAATTAGAGTGGAAAAAAACACTATAGGCTGATCCAACTTTGATGTCATGTCCTTAAAACAAGTCAAAATGAGGCTCAGTAGTGTGTGTGGCCTCCACGTGCCTGTATGACCTCCCTACAACGACTGGGCATGCTCCTGATGAGGTGGCGGATGGTCTCCTGAGGGATCTCCTCCCACACCTGGACTAAAGCATCCCCCAACTCCTGGACAGTCTGTTGTGCAACATGGCATTGGTGGATGGAACGAGACATGATGTCCCAGATGTGCTCAATTGGATTCAGGTCTGGGGAACGGGCGGGCCAGTCCATAGCATCAATGCCTTCATCTTGCAGAAACTGATGACATTCCAGCCACATGAGGTCTAGCATTGTTGTGCATTAGGAGGAACCCAGGGTCAACCGCACCAGCATATGGTCTCACAAGGGGTCTGAGGATTTCATCTCGGTACCTAATGGCAGTTAGGCTACCTCTGGCGAGCACATGGAGAGCTGTGCGGCCCCCCCACATGCACATTTGTGCCCCACTGGAGGTCATTTTGTAGGGCTCTGGCAGTGCTCCTCCTGCCCCTCCTTGCACAAAGGCAGAGGTAGCGGTCCTGATGCTGGGTTGTTGCCCACCTACAGCCTCCTCCACGTCTCCTGATGTACTGGCCTGTCTCCTGGTAGCGCCTCCATGCTCTGGACACTACGCTGACAGACACAGCAAACCTTCTTGCCACAGCTCTCATTGATGTGCCATCCTGGATGACCTGCACTACCTGAGCCAGTTGTGTGGGTCGTAGACTCCATCTCATGCTACCACTAGAGTGAAAGCACCGCCAGCATTCCAAAGTGACCAAACCATCAGCCAGAAAGCATAGGAACTGAGAAGTGGTCTGTGGTCACCACCTGCAGAACCACTCCTTTATTGGGGATGTCTTGCTAACTGCCTATGTTTTCCACCTGTTGTCTATTCCATTTGCACAACAGCATGTGAAATTGATTGCTACCTAAGTGGACAGTTTGATTTCACAGAAGTGTGATTGACTTGGAGTTACTTGTGTTGTTTAAGTGTTCCCTTTATTTTTTTTGAGCAGTGTATATAGCTGGGCAATCCTGCCATCTAATTTTACAAACTGCCATTCAGTGTAACTGACATGCTACCAGTGGGTTCAGGGCTTCTGTCAGGTCATAAATCTTCTCAAATGGAGGTTCTTAAGTGGTACTCTGAAAATGGATTTTTGTGGAGTAAATGTGTTTTAAATGTTCAGTAAAATTTCACCATTAAAAAAGGTACTTCTATTTATTTTATATCTGCTTTTGGACTTGTTTCGGTCATCTGGTTACATCAGATTTGGGCATTTTAGAATAGGCACTTTCCCATCAACAGAAACAAATCTTAACTAACAGCCCTATTGATTCCAGCAGATTATGAGCAATATAATATTAATATTTGAAAATATGTTGAGATCATTTTTAAAGAAAGTAATAAATGGCAGTATTACATTAGAGGACAGTGGTTGCTGTCAGATGGAATAGAGCAGCCTTCTACAAGCTGGTATTTATGTTGGTTGAAGTACAAGAAGATGGTTTGTTCAATTAATCAATTTATATGAGTACCTAACAGACAAATTATGTTACTATGTGGCTTATATCAGGTTAAAAAGAAACAAAAAATAACTAACTAGACAAACAAACACAAAACAAAAATAACAATAAAAATATAGTACATTTGAGGCCAGCCACAATCATCATAGCAACATTACAAAATGATCTCTAATTTCCTGGGGGGAAGAGCCAGGCTTTGCAGAAGGCTGTTTGGCTCAGCGCTGTCTGAATCTCAGGGGATATGTGGTTCCATAAGACAGGCACCATGACAGAAGGCAAGTTGCTTGAATCTCATGAAATGGCATTGCTTCATAGAGGGAACAGGATGAACCTGCCTATTGGACCTTGTGAGAACAGCTGAAATAATCAGAGCCGGATAGTTCAACAAAGAACCTTTTTCCAAGAAAGACTTCATAAATGATAACTTTCATCTTGAATTACCCCCAGAAGCCTAATATAGCTGGTGTAGCTCAAAAAGTAGTGATGTTACATGGTGCCCTGTGGTTCAGCTATAATTATTCACATCACTGCATCGTGAAGCACTTGCAGTTTCCTGATGGTCTACAAGAGGAAATGTATGTAGAACACCTTGCAATACCACAAGAGGTGATTACAGACAGGGCCCTCCAGTTCAGGAATGGAAACAATTGACACATAAGATGGATTTGGGCCTCCTAGCCATTGCAAGTACCTGCTATTCAAGCAATTGCTGAGGGTCCAAGAGAACTCTCAAATAGTACACTTCCATAAGTTGATGGTTCTTGCATCTAGTGGTAGTGCAGAACTAAAGTCCACAGCTATACTAATACTCTAGAGCTGTGTTGGCGAACCTATGCCATGCGCGCCAGAAGTGGCATGTAGAGCCATTTCCCCAGGCACATGAGAAGTTGCCTGGAAGAGCCCCACTGCACATGCGTGTGCCGCTGCCTGGCAGCTGATTGTTGGGTATCTGGCGCACGTGGATGGAGGGGGGATTTGCGGGAGATGCATGTACAGGGACGCGCTGTACATGAGGGGATCCCATGCACATGTGCAGATGCGCTGAGTGCAAGGGGGAATTGTGTGCACATGCGCAGATGTGCTGTGCGTGAGGGAAATTGCATGCACATGCAGAGGCATGCAGTGCACGATGGAGAATTGCGTGCACATGCCTGGCACACGAGGGGGGTCGCATATGCATGCGCAGGGAGTGTGAGGGCCTCCAGCATGCATTGCTTTCTGGGTGCTGGCATGCAAGTGCGCACAAGAGGACGCGTGCGCAATTATCGGCATGGAAGCCGAAAAAGGTTAGCCACTACTGCTCTAGAGGAATGCAAAGAATGCTATAAATTTTCTGTTGTTTGTGCCATTGTACAGAGAATAAACAAGAAATTTCTTAATATAGGAATTTAATAGTGCATAAAAACTGGTTTTTATATACAAAAAATATCTAAGTACTCCCAATTTATTTGATTATAATTTATAATAATAAATAATTATTTGTCTGGAAGAAAAAGAGGATAACAAAGAAGCAAACATTCAATCTATATATATTAAAACAAAAATAACACTCATGTATCATCACAAAATCTCCAGAACTATAAAGCCTGCAAACTTGAAATTTTGCACATATGTTCCTCTTGGCTTCTAGGTGCTCACTAAGAAAGGATTTTTTTGAAGTGACCATCAGAGCGTTAGTGTTTTGTATATTATTATTAACACGCTCTGATGCTAAGGAGTTCTATTACTCCTCCCCACCTGAAAAGAAATCTGTTCCAAATGCAAAACACAAGCAGAGGGGAGGAGTTTCAGTTTTAGTTTCACAGCACCAAGCAGATGCGCTTACAGTACAGTTGAGTTAAGCCACGCCCAGGCTCCTTCCTGTCTCCTTCTTGCTCACACAGCAAATACTGTTTCAGTTTCCATTTTTCAGTTTCCAAACAGTCCTCAACTCTCATACACACTGACAGGACGCTAGCCAGATGAATACCGATGGATGCTGGTAGGCAGAAGCACAATTCCCGCCCCCCTATTTTCCTCCCCAAAAACTAAGCCCAAACACATAGTTTCGTAGCAGAGCGCAGGTATAGAACTAGTATCCAAATAAATCTAAATATTATCTTTACTACTTTAAAAAGTATATCGGTTACTTTAACTTTTTGCAAATAGCAAATTCTAAATAAACTTAAATGTTTTGGAAAATTTGGAGATAAAAAGTCATGAAGGAGAGAAATAGGGATAATACACCTGTAACCATCCTTAAAGATGATTAGATGCTCAAAGCTGCTTATGAAATGTTTTCTGACATAAAACTACTCAGTAGCAAAATACCCACCCACCCCAGTCTGGAAGAAAGTCATGAATCTCTTATGCTAAATTCTACTTTATATTAATTTTCCAACTATCTATTTATATATGGTCAAATAATTGTAGAATTTTTCCTAATATTTGTTTTGTTTAATTTACAGTATATATCAGTGCAATAACTTTGACTTTTAGCAACTTTCTTGGTAAGTGTTTTTCATGTACTATAGAGATCTTACTAGAGATGAGTTCTTACTGATAGCAACATCCCGGAAAGTGATAAAAATTCAATCCATCGATCTATGTAATGTTATGCCAAACTATGACTTAGTGTGACATAAAGATCAAGCAAGCCTCTGCTTCACACACATCCCCTACTCTATTTTATCCTTTTCTTGCATAGCTGGGAAGAAAATTTTGGAAGTGTTTATTTTTAGTTTTTTTTTAAAGACTGCTGATGTTAAAATGAGTCCACTTAAAATGAACCCTTCAAGCTTGGCCTGTCTGGGATTTCTGTTCCATTCATTAAAACCACATCAACTTCTTCATCATCACCGACAACAGTATGATGTTGGGAGGCTGCAAAGCAAATCACCAGCCTCCAGCATTAACCTTATCTCCAAGAGTTCCTTGGTCCCCATATCAAGCAATAGGTATTCTTAGAAAATAAATGTGCCGATTGGTTGCAATCTAATACTTGATTTAAATTATATCCAGCAAAAATAAATGGGATATAAGTATTTGGACTTGGAGCACCCTGGGTACTTAAACGGGGTGGGAGAAAGCACCAATTTGCATTATGGCCAATGGAACATTTTTCAACTATTTATATCCATCATTGACTCAATTGGTGTTCTTGATCACAGAAACCCAGGGAAATTTCATTCTGTTTGAAACCAGCTATGCGCTATGCTGATTTTTCCTACTTTCCAAAATGATTTTCTTTACTATTTAAAAGATATAGGTGAAACTCAAAAAAATAGAATATCGTGCAAAAGTTCATTTATTTCAGTAATGCAACTTAAAAGGTGAAACTAATATGTGAGATAGACTCATTAAATGCAAAGCAAGATAGTTCAAGCCGTGATTTGTCATAATTGTGATGATTATGGCTTACAGTTCCTGAAAACCCCAAATCCACAATCTCAGACAACTAGAATATTACAGGCAATCAATAAAATAAGGATTGTACATAGAACAATATCGGACCTCTGAAAAGTGTAAGCAGGCATATGTACTCAGTACTTGGTTTGGGGCCCTTTTGCAGCAATTACTGCCTCAATGCGGCATGGCATGGAAGTTATCAGCCTGTGGCACTGCTGAGGTGTTATGGAAGACCAGGATGCTTCAATAGCTGCCTTCAGCTCTTCTGTATTGTTCGCTCTCATGTCTCTCATCTTTCTCTTGGCAATGCCCCATAGATTCTCTATCGGGTTCAGGTCCGGTGAGTTTGCTGGCCAATCAAGCACAGTAATCCCATGGTCATTGAACCAGGTTTTGGTGCTTTTGGCAGTGTGGGCAGGTGCCAAGTCCTGCTGGAAAATGAAGTCAGCATCCCCATAAAGCTCATCTGCAGAAGGAAGCATAAAGTGCTCCAAAATCTGCTGGTAGATGGCTGCGTTGATCCTGGACTTAATGAAGCACCGTGGACCACCACCAGCAGATGACATGGCTCCCCAAATCAACACAGACTGTGGAAACGTCACACTGGACTTCAAGCATCTTGCAGTGTGTGCCTCTCCATTCTTCCTCCAGACTCTGGGTCCTTGGTTTCCAAATGAGATGCAAAAGTTGCTCTCATCAGAAAAGAGGACTTTGGACCACTGAGCAACAGACCAGTTCTGTTTTTCTTTAGCCCAGGTAAGACGCTTCTGACGTTTGTTGTTCAGGAGCAGCTTGACAAGAGGAATACAACATTTGAAGCCACTGTTCAGGATCCATCTGTGTGTGGTGGCTCCTGATGCACTGACTCCAGTCTCAGTCCACTCCTTGTGAAAGTCCCCAACACTTTTGAATGGCCTTTGCCTGACAATCCTCTCCAGGCTGCGGTCATCCCTGCTGCTTGTGCACCTTTTTCTTCCACATTTTTCCCTTCCACATAACTTTCTATTAATGTGCTTTGACACAGCACTTTGGGAACATCCAACTTCTTTTGCAATTACCTTTCCCTCCTCATGGAGGGTGTCAATGATGGTTTTCTGCACAGCTGTCAGGTTTGCAGCCTTTCCCATGATTGTGATTCCTACTGAACCAGACTGAGAGACCATTTAAAGGCTCAGGAACCCTTTGCAGGTGTTATGGCTTAATTAGCTGATTAGAGTGGGAGACTTTGAGCCTAGAATATTGAACCTTTTCATAATATTCTAATTTTCTGAGATTGTGGATTTGGGGTTTTCATGAACTGTAAGCCCTAATCATCTCAATAATGACACATCACAACTTGAACTATCTTGCTTGGCATGTAATGAGTCTATCTCATATATTAGTTTCACCTTTTAAGTTGCATTACTGAAATAAATGAACTTTTGCACGATATTCTAATTTTTCGAGTTTCACCTGTAGCTCTTGTGCCTCCTCTTCCTTCTGCCTCTTCTTTTTCCATGATTTTGCATGCTTCTTTCTTTAAATGTATATAATGGTGACAAACAATCTGCTTGATGCATGAAGCCAGGATAAGATGGACAGCTAGTTTTGGATTTGCTAATAGAACCATCAAATTGTAAAGTAGGATAGAGGGAAGAAAAGGCTAGGCTTAAGCTATAAGAGAAATAGACATGGCATGTCCTGATACATTTGTACACTCTGGTTGATGTATATGAATATGCAGTGAGAGTCTTTTTTCCCTCACAAGAAACATCTAAATCAACACTCCGGCTGACTATGAACAAAGAGGATTTTGAGTACATTCTAATGTGGAAATCTGGAAATAGTTCAAGGATGCCAGCATGCTACACAGTGATGTATAGGATGAAAAGGTTTCTATCTGTTTTCTTTATACATATTTATGTTTACATTTTGTAACTGTTTACAAGTAATCATAATGGACAAAGTATTATTTTAACACAGGTGCTTAGATACTGCTTCAATAAAAATAAAAATAATGCAAATGTTTAAAGGTCAGTAGATTTATTTGGTACATGTTTGTGAATTGGACACAATTTGATCAAATGCATCGGATATTATTTCTTAGAAATACCTAGTAAAGTTGGGGAGTGATTATCATTTTGTGAACAGAGGCCATCCTTCATATTTTTAGGAATAGCACAGAGCATGGGATGATAATGCAAAGTAACCAGGCTATGACATACATTTGAATGGCTCCAGATTTTTCTGTATTTTCCTGAACGTAAGGTAGAATTTAAAGAGGGTTGTTTCTTTAATTCTATAAGGCCTATTATTGGGAATACAATTCAGTATTATCAATTTCCAGTCTGACAATGATAGAAAACTCTGAAAACAATTTTCAGCAAATGGAGTCAGAAGGATCCTGGTTGCTCCATATACTTGGACTTTAGATGCTGTCCTATATGAACCTAAAACCAATCGAAAATCTTGAGGCAATATAGCATTGCCTCAATTCTTGGTGTATTCATGAGGTTAAAGGAAAGTAAATGACAAAAAGTACATTATGAGATAATTGATGCAAACCTTTGACCTACAGTATATACTTGCATCTAACACTAAACACAAACATACCTGTTTTGTGAATATTTTCATCATCATAATTTTACTAGGTGCCTATAAATGAAAGAATATCAGTCTGTTATGTTCAGGTGAAGTATATTTGCAAAAACCTACAGTTATCATTCAATTGGCAAAATGTTCTCATATAAATAAATATATATATATATATATATATATATATATATGTGAATATGTTCTTCATATAAATAAAAAAATTCAATTATTACTGTCAATGACAGTAATTAGCACTTTTTCCTATTTGCTGGAGATAAACCTAGAGCAAAATGGCTGCATTTATTGAATGGATGGGGAATTCGACAGAAAATGGAAGGAAAAATATCTTGCTTTATTTTCTTTAGCAACTTTGGCTGTAATTTACATACCATGGGAGCAACGTCGAAATCAGCAGTAAAGGGCCAGGAACAAGTTAATTCTTATAACTCCAGGCAAGTTAAATACTCTTGAAAAGTTGATGCTCCTATCTATATTTGTTCTCTTTCGTTTTACTTCAAGGTGTTCCACTGTACAATTTTTGTCTTCCTGCTTTCTGTATTGTGAAAGACAAGTATTTTATATCAATGCACAATAGGCCAATGAATGACAGTTTAAAGATTATAATATGTCTTAACATTCCCACAATATTTGCTTTGGAGTGAGGTGAATTTGAGGCTCAGAATTAAATCAGGAGCATATATAATATAGATCTTGAACTAAGCTGGGAAATCCAGGTTTGTGCCTTCATATGACCATGGAAATCCATGGCTGATTTAGAGCCAGTCCTCTCTTTTAACAAACTTCCTGAGAGGTTGCAGCGTAAGAACAAAATAATAGGAGAATCCCATGTCTATCATTCTGAGTTGGCAGGATATAAATATAATAATAAAGATTAAAATAAAATCAAAGATGGTAGGCAGAAAAATATAGGTAAAAAAATTCATTACATAATTGGTCTGTTCTACTTGGGAAGATCAGATTTACTGATCTTTTACTCAGTCTTCCCCATTTTTCTGTTTCAGCATGAACTGTTGTGTATGGGGTTTTAGACATGTAGTGGAATAAATATAGGCTGTTCCTGAATTTAAATGGTTCACACATAGTGCACTGATCCTTAATTTTCAACCATAGCTTGTGTCAAGTTATAATTGATTTGATATCCATAATGGATGGTTTCACAGTCATGCTAAGTACAAACCAAAGAAACTGTGCTTTAGATTAAGATAGTGTATTAACCCAGTCATTGATTTTAATCAACAGCGATCCTCAAAATAAAACCAGTTCTAAATGTCTTATTCAGTAAATTCATTTAAACATTGTTGTGCTTTACTCAGTATCTAGAGGAAGAAACATCCAGGAACGGATCTGTCTCCTAGAACAGGGGTCTCCAACTTTGGCAACTTCAAGCCCAGAGGACTTCAACTCCCAGAATTCCCCAACTCCAATTCTGGGAGTTTAAATCCTCCGGGCTTAAAGTTGCCAAGGTTGGAGACCCCTTTCCTGGAATATCTCCTTGCCTTGCCTCACTTTGATATCTGATGCCCTCTGCATGTGTACAGCAACTCCCCGAAGGAGTGTACCAGTTTGAGAAAAGCTTTTCTTAGACTGTAGAACTCTTAAGAAAGATTCTCAGAGGAGTCTGATGTCTTTATAGACACTAAAAAAATGGGATGATTTATAGTTCTTTCTTTTTGATACTTGTATCTCTATCACAGACGTTCCCTTTCCCCCCCCCACCAGGTCTCAGGAAAGCCAGGAGCCAGACCATCATGTTCTGGGACCAAGGGAGTTGGCTACTTGCCCAGCTTTCTCAGAAACAGATGCACAAAGAACATCAGTGAAGCAGGATCTAAGGTGGAAAAAGAAAGTAATTCTTAGCAGAAACCCAGTAAAGGCATCTGAGGTTCTAAAGGATCTTAAATATTTTCACTGAAATCAAGAAAAATTCTGAGATCATCAAAGAGTTTGAAAAAATATTGACTTGCTAGCTCTAACCACCCAAATACACCCTCCCCTCATTATAAGTTCCAATGAACCTCAAGTGAACAAAGGTTGAGATATCTCCTATATGATACATAAACATGACATCTTTTTGTAAATTGCAGATTTATTATTTATGCACACATGTTTAAAATTTTAAAATAAGAAAACAGTAAATATAGCAGATTCAGACAACTTTCCAGTTGTATTTTGTAATACCTCCTTTCAAATGGTTCCAAAAATTAATTAAATTAATTAAGAAAAACTTTTGAAATCCTTTCTTATTCTTCCTTTCAGAATTTTTTCTAGCTCAGAAATATTCTTCCATGATTGATCTGGAGATGTATTTCAGACTGTTTTCTTTGATTTTTCTTGCTTTTGTATGTGTATGGGTATATACTTGCCAGATGTCACATAAAAAAAAAATCAGGGGAAGGATAAATTGTTACCAAATTCTGTAATATTATTACTCTCTTAAGTGCTAAATGAATGTGTTACTCCCCCAGATAAATAAATGTGATACTACTCCCCCAAATAAAACTAAATTGTATGCAATGTCAAAGAAACAAATGAAACTGTTGTGATTCATTAATATTTTAATAAATAATTAAACATGGGAATTGAATCTTCTCTTAAAATTTTCTCTGGGTTTTGCTCCCCATGTTCTCTGCACAAACCTGATGTTTGGTCTGCTCTCATCCAGACCAAATATAAGTGAGTTTGGACAGAACACCTGTTCTATCTCATCATCTTAAAAAGTCATTTGCTCTTTAAATTGATACCTATCTTCCAGAAGTCATGATCCATACTTCAGCAATATCTGGGTTAAGGAAAAAGAATAGTTGGAATAGGAAGAAAAACAAAAAAGGGGATAAAAATGGATGCCCTTTGAGCTGAAGGGAACAAATCACTAGCTCGGGAAGAAAGAAAAGAGAGATGACCTAATTACCCATTGCTAAAAGCATTGAATTCGTCAAGCCCTCCCAAATAGCAGTTATACTTTCAGGCTAATTTTCTAAAGCAATTATGCTTTCCAGGAGCAGGCAGAGTATTTGCACTTCTTGCTCATTTCTTTGTTTTTAATAGCATCTGTTAATTCTTACCAGCGAATGTAAGCAAATCTTCTCAAAGATACAGTACCTACAAGGAGATCAGGAATATTTTTGAGCAAGGAGGGTTCTGCCAGGGAGAATGGGAAAAGAAAAGAACTAAAAATGAGAACTTTCTCAATTATAAGAAACAATAAAGTTGTTATTTCTGCCAAAGGAAGTGTTACAAAATTGGAAGGGTCTTCAGATCTCGGTAACTGCCATGTTTACTACTTTATCACTTTGAATCTATGCACATAAGTAATAAACGTCCATTGAAATTTGCAGAAAAAAAAGTTTTTAACTATAAACCATGCAGAGATTTCATCAACCATGAATTCATTGAAACATAGTTTTACCAGGGTGTCTAATCTTGCATAGACAACTTAATATACATCTAATTTGGGCCCAACATATTTTGGCCAATTATCATACACTTCTTTGGAATCACTGTTTTCTTACTGAAAAATATTGTATTCTTTCTTGTTTTTATACAGTGGCATAAAATCATACTTCAATCATACAGTCCAGGAATGTGCTAACATAACAAGACCATTATGTAATCTGACAAATGAATTTGCAGATTTTTGCCAGGGAACTGCACTTATTATAGTACAGCAAGACACCAGCAATGAAATAAATTATTCAGATATTCTACCATTCAATCCATATACTCAACGTAAGTAATTTATTCCTTCCTTTTGTTTGTTTGAATCATGTATTAATTTTGACTATCTCAAATCAGGTCATTTTCCCTTTGGGAAAATAAATACTTTTTGTTTATTTGTCAAGCAAGTTAGCCTTGATGACCTTTCTATTCAGTTATACTGTTCATTTAAGGAGAATTTTAAAAGCTAGGCTAGAAGTTAAGAGTAGCACAAAGAATCAGGTTCTATATTGAGGGCTGACTTTCAGAATCAAAATTGACATTGATGATTAAAGCAAACCAATAACACAAATATAAAATTAAAAATATTGTATGTATCTTTCTATTGGAAATATTATTTATAAGAATCCACTAGGTTTGATTAGAAATCCTACAGAATTTCCAAGGTACTTATATTTTAGGCTATTACATTTGCTAAGATTAAAAAAATCTGGATTGCCAGCAAATAGTATTGATAATTTCTTTTATTTATGTTTTAATCAGGATGCTTCAAGCCACCTCAGTTTAATATTTCGGTTTGTCAAAACTGTGTAAATGTCACAGTGAAACTTTCACCTTTGTTACTTAAAATTTATCAAAACCTTGATTATAGAATCACAGCGAAAACAGATGGTCTCAAGGAAAACGTAAGTAATTGATTATTAAGGTTAAAGGGAATTGGTAATTAAGAAATGTGCTAAGATTTTTGCTTTTATAATATATATCTCAGCTTCAGATGTGTTGCGCTCACATCATTTTCAGCCATCGTGTCCTTGGTTTCTTCCAGTTCAGTGTTTATATTCATTGGTTCTAAATGGAATGATGGAATCCAGATGGACCAATTTGCTTTGTCTGGGTTCAGAGTGCCAGCTGAACTTTATGGGTTGAGTGGTTAAGGCTAATATAGAAAATCAATGGTCTTACTAGCATACAAACCCACACAATGAAATGAAATTAACAGAATATCGAAACGCATTTTAGTATGTTGACATTGCAATGTCATCCAATTCAGAAACACAAATTACAAAATAAAGCTAGTGTTGATATTGCTGTTATGATTGTTGTAGTTATAAGTTATAAACTATATGTATCAATAACAACTCCCCAAACCAGAAAAAACAGATTACCCATAACAATAAGGAAGCTTCAATCCAAAAAAAAAGATCACTTTGGTGGAAAAACAAATCTGGTCACATTGCCAACTTCAAAAGCCAGTACAAAAATTTATGCCACCGGATAAAGACTGAATGCACCAATTATCACATTAAACAAGAGGAAAACCTTCTACCAATTCCATCCGCGCTTTCTACAATTTTACAAACAACAAACTAAAAGACTCAAGATCCATCCCACCCCTGAAAGGACCTAATGGTAAAGACTGCAACGATTACACCATTAAGGCCAACCTCTTTAATGCATTCTTTGGCTCAGTATTTGTAAACAGCAATGGATCATGCCCAGTATTTCCTAGTCGAGCCAAAGACAACTACAATGATCTAATACATATTGATTTTACAGAAGACAATGTTGAAAAAGCACTACGCAATCTAAAACCATCTCTAGCTACTGGACCAGATGGAATATGTGCCTACTTCTTAAAAAAGCTATCCACTGCCATAGCCGAACCTTTAAGCATAATCTTTGAAAAATCTTTCAGGACCAGCTCCTTGCCTAACCTATGGCCACAAGCCACAGTCATCCCCATCTTCAAAAAGGGAGGCCCCAGTCTAGTTGAAAATTACAGACCAATCTCTTTATGCTGCATCACCTGTAAAGTCATGGAGTCAATTATTAACCAATCCATTATCCTCCACTTAGAGACAAACAACCTACTCTCTAATAAACAATTTGGTTTCAGAAAAAAACTATCCTGTAATCTTCAACTCTTACACTGCAAAAACATATGGACTACACAACTCGATCAAGACAAAGCAATAGACGCAATCTACATAGACTTCTGTAAAGCCTTCGATTCAGTGGTACAGGACAAACTCCTAAAACTAAAATCTTATGGTATCTCTGGACAACTGCATAACTGGACAGAAGTATTCCTGTCAAAAAGACAACAAATGGTCAAAATTGGGAGCATCTTATCAAATTCTGTACCTGTCAACAGTGGTGTCCCCCAAGGCAGTGTTCTAGGATCAACTCTCTTCATACTCTACATAAATGACCACTGTAATCATATTAAGAGCAACTGTGTTCTCTTCACTGATGATGTAAAGCTATTCAACACCACAGACAATACAGCTACCCTTCAAAAAGACCTCAACTATGTATCAGAATGGTCAAACAAATGGCAACTTCAAATGTCAACAAATAAGTGCTCTGTCTTACATATTGGCAAAAAAAAAAGAAAAGAAAATACAGGCTGAATTGTCAAGACCTTGTTGATGATCCAAACTCCATCAAGGACCTTGGAACTCATCTCTAATGATCTAAGTGCTAGAGCCCACTGTAACTACATAGCCAAAAAGGCATTAAGAGTTGTTAACCTAATCCTACATTGCTTTTTCTCTGGTAATATCACACTACTAACTAGAGCATGCAAAACATTTGTTAGACTTATACTTGAATACAGTTCATCAGTCTGGAAACCACATTACGTATCTGATATTAACACAATTGAGAAAGTTCAGAAATATTTCACAAGAAGTGTTCTCCGCTCCTCTACTCGTTGCAGAGTACCTTATGTCACCAGACTTGAATTTCTAGACCTAGAAAACCTAGAACTACGCCATCTTTGGTCTGATCTAAGTATAGTATATAAAATTATATATTGCAATGTCCTACCTGTCAATGAATACTTCAGCTTCAACCATAACAATACAAGAGCAAACAATAGATACAAACTCAAGATTAACCACACCAAACTTGATTGCAGGAAATATGACTTCACCAACAGAGTGGTCAATGTCTGGAATATTCTACCTGACTCTGTGGTTTCTTCCCCAAACCCCAAAAACTAACCTTAGACTTTCTACTATTGACCTCACCCCTTTCCTAAGAGGCCTGTAGGGGGCGTGCATAAGCGCACCAACATGTCTACCGTCCCTGTTCTTTTATTTTCTTTTATGTATTCATTTCATGTATTCATAACTATGTTTATCCTTATACCTATTATCTTGTAAGCAATTGACAAATCAAATAAATAAAATAAAATAAAATAAAAATAGTATTATAGTAGTAGTATTTAGAGCACTTTACAAAATATCTCACTATTTCTCTAACCCCTATATAGAAAATGACATTCTTAAATAGAAAGTACAATGGTACTTCGATACTCATTGTCAGTTGGTTCCTGGAAGCACAGTAAGTACAAAACCGATGAGTACCAAACAGATTTTGCCAATAAGGAATAATGTAGTGAGTCACAAGGCAGCCAACACCAACAAGTTCTAGCTTGTGCATTGACTATTAAACAAACAATTAGTATCAGGACACAACTTTGGTGTCAAAGTGTGTTGCATGCCAAATTATATTAGTTTCAGAGCAGTTGAGTTACTGCTTTGAGTTATGGTTGATGTACCATTGTAATTGCAAAGTCATGCCTTGATTCCAGGTTAAAGTAGAGTTTCACCAATTCACTTCCTTTAGCTTTATCCTTTCAATGCATTTTAAAATAATTCACTTTTTTTTGTCTTTTACAGCGTATTGATAATACAAGCAAACAGGATAGTTTCTTCACTATTCTGGAAGATTTGCATCCAAATAAAAATTATTGCATTGCTGTTGAGGTGTCTAAAGGTTTTAATCAACAGTGCACTCCCACCATTCCAAAATGTATTATGCTTGACTCCAGTAATAGAAAAGGTACAATGAATTATGAAACAAGAAAAGAATGGGTCAGAGCCTGTTTTATTTTGTGACTAAAAGACTAAACATTTGTTTAGCATTTCAGTGTCTTTTACACGATTACATTATGGTTTTTTGTCTTCCTGACAAAACCAAGTAGTTTTGAAATAATCTGCAAATGCATAGTTGCTTAATGAAATATATTTTTAATCTGCAGATTATACTAAACTTTCAATCTTGGCTCCAGCAATACTAGCATTAGTGCTAGTCGTTGTAGTTTGTCTGTACAAGGTTGGTTGTATCCACTTTAAAAGGAGGACGGTACCAAGTATCTTGGTAAGTAGTGTGGCAAAATATTTCTAACTTAAAATTTGTATGTGTTAGGACAGTTCAACTAAAGACAATGAAAGGGATTCCAGAAGAAGCTACATGTCCCTTAACTCCATTTAATATTCCCTATATTTCTCCTGTACTTCATAGACTTGGGGTGATGTAGCTTATTCATTAGTTTAAAGACTATTTCTCTCATAATGGCTGTGAGAGTGCTCTTCATTTTAGTCTCATATGTTTACATATTCAATTCAAGTGCCAAAAGAAACAACACTCTTAGTTTGGCTGTATTGCTGCAGGACTTGATATACAAGTGGATTTGAGCTTACAATCAGGAACCTGCGCAAGATTTAAGAAGGCTTTTTTACAGTATGTAACTTTAGAGTTGATTTTCGAAGCAAGATTAATTTGATGTAAACAGCCGGCTGATAATCCAATGGAATTTTATTTTAAAATATACAGGCTATGTTTCTGAGGCTAAGTGAATTCCCATTAATTATTATGTGCTGCCCCTGGTGAAACACTACATCAGACATGGGGAAATGTTTTCTGTTCAAGGGAAATCCTTTGAACGGGATTTGAAGCAGATTATACCAGAGTTTGACAATAACAGTAGTAGTGAAACTAAATTGAAAGTCCTGCCCTCTGATAATCATCTATCTCTCTGTGCCAGAGAACACAAGGTACGCCTGAGTGAAAAGTTGTATCTGTCACATGCTTTCTTTCATTTATGAACAATAATCAAACAAGGCTACAAAAGCCATCTCTGCCTTCCCACTGAGAATATAAAGCCCCATTGAATTCTAGCATGTGCCACCTCATCGCTTTTTTAACAGAAGTGAAGAGTTGGGGCTCTGGTTGCCAAGAGATTTGCTGAGAGCTTTTATGTCCGTTCGTTTTTCCTCATCAGAGAAGAAGGGAAGTAAGAACCAGTACCTAGTTACCCACAAGGGAACGCGGGGCAGAATTAAAGAAGAAAGCATTTGACATTCTCAGGAAGGAAAGTTTAATAAAGCCCCAGCATTAAAGATACGGAAAAGCAAAGAAATATTATTCGTGAAATGAATATATAGATGTTTCAGGCTTTTTTTTTTAATGACACATCAATACTGTTTTGAGGGCATCTGTGAATGTTTGTGCATACCAACTTATGTTTTGTTTTGTTTTGTTTTCCTAGAACATCAAATCTAACTTGGCTTGTTTAGTCTCTGAACCAGATCTTGAAAAAATTTGTGATGTCCAGGTCCAGGAAAGTGAAGTGCAACAACACAGTGATGATGAGACCAGTGAAAGCGATGCTGAGAGTAACTTTGATACTAAATGTGACATCTTTAACCAGATTACACCATTCTCTGAGGTGGACATCACTCAGAAGATATTCACTGGTTGCTCAGCTACTACAAATGAAGTAACCAGAACTTTAGCAGAAAAAAATCAGAATGATATTGACAAAGGCAGCCCAATTACCCCATTATATCCTTCTGAAGTAAATTCTGGCCATGTAGGAGAATCAGAACGTACAGTCTGCTTAAATGTAAACTTAAATACTGTGAAGCTAGGAATATCGGATAAGAAACTGGATTTTTCTACATTTGACCATGAAGATATACTAGACTTGAATGAATCTCGTATTTCTGAATTTGAACCAAACCATATCACTGAAATGCCAGATAGTCAGAGCTTTGATGTTCAAAGTCCTCTATGTTCATGGGAAAATCTTAGTGTCTCTGGAGAAAGTGAATCATCTTATTCAGAAACAGAATGCACCAGTGGATATATGAGAAGATGTATCCATGTAAAGTGACAGAGCTTCCACTGTCCCTCCCTTTGAAAGGCACTTTTGGGAAGCAGTAATTTAGAACAGATAAATGAACTCTTTCTTCCATTTCTTCATTCCAAATTAATCCTAAAATGATCATGTGATTCATTTAAACAAGAAACAGTGTTGGCATTTGACTCCCTGAATTTATATCACATGTGAAACTTGGTTCCTATGGATACCAAAATATAATGTAATTACATAGCTCATTGTAAAGAGCTACACTTTATAGAAATGTTGTGATTGGCAAACTTTTTTCTATAGTTGCATGCCCTGCCTTCTCGTCTTCATGATGTGCACTAGCTGGGAATTCTAGAATCTGCACCTGCGGCATTTCAAGAAGCCAACATGTCTGGATTTTACTTCTCCATCATGCAGCTAATGCATATATTTGTCCTGCTGTTTTAGAAATCTAAAAATTAGCTGCTTTTTCTTGTGTTGTATTGATTCTTTTATTTTTAACAACCTTAAATGTCTTAGTACATGACTTTATTACAGGGCAATTTATTTCTCTGTGATTCACTTAACAACTGGCAAGAAAGGTTGCAAAATAGGGCAAATCTTACTTAAAAACTGTCTTATTCAGCAACATAAATTTTGGATTCAATTGTGTTCATACATCAAGGACTACCAGTACTATGTGAGATTGTTGTTAGGAATGTAAGTCACCTAACAGTTATCTCAGGTCCTCCAGGAAAGAACTCTGGAGCTTTTCTCTCACCTACCCTGAGGAATGCTTTTCAAATATTAAGGCATCTTGGCTCTTTTAGAAAACATTTGTCCCTTTTAAAATATTGCTATATTGAGGTTTCAAAATGTTGCTGTTCCCTATTTTCAGTCTACTATTCATATTAGGAACATATGAGATATGAAGGAGGGAAGGGAAGGGAAGGGAAGGGAAGGGAAGGGAAGGGAAGGAAGGAAGGAAGGAAGGAAGGAAGGAAGGAAGGAAGGAAGGAAGGAAGGATCAAATTAATGCACAAGAGCATTGCAATATTGTTAAATGGACTAAATTGTTTCGATATTCTATGCTAGGCCTTTGTAAGATGTGTTGGCTTCTAATCTTTCTAGGTTTGGATCAAAGTATTAATGGCAATCTTTAAGGTTTTAAACATTAACATTAAACATTTGACAATATCTGAGGAATCCTTCCATATATTCCTACCAGGATTTCAAAGGCATTGTCAGAGGCTGTTCTTTAAAGACCAAATGAAATTCGAAGTAAAAACAGACATGTTAATCAATGCTAGTATCTATCTTATTCATGAAAGTCCTATATATTTTTTGCATAACCCAACCTTTTGTTACAATAAAAAATTATAAATAAAATTATTGGGAACTATTTTTACATATTTAAACATTCAAATCTCTCTCTCTGTCTCTCCCTCTGTGTGTGTGTGTGTGTGTGTGTATGGAAATTTATATATGAAGAGACAGACATCACAATCTCTGGAACTTAAACTATATTATCCACGTAGCCTCTGCTAATATTGTCAAGAGTGTAAAACTACCATTGAAGAGATGTTTGCCTTTATGCATCATGCAAGCAATAGCTAAATTGATAATAAAACAAAACAAAATGGACACAATTTATTAAAGTGGCATTAGTGTCTTAGAATGTATTAGAATGTTTGGTATGGTTTTAAAAAATCATTCAAAGCCTTCTTTAAAGGATCAAGGTCATGTATTTTCTTAATCACTGCCAACCAAAAGTACATTTTTCTAGCAAGTCATATTAGAAGAAAAGCCTGTTAAAATAGTCAATCTGTGAAAATCTACAGCCAACCTTGGACCATTATGCTTTCCTCTAATAGGTACTTTGTGGATGCATCTTTTCTTTCAGATAAGCATTCAATTGAAACAAGTATCTTGCAGCAGCAACCTGTATTTCTGCCAAATCATAGACAAAGCCCCAAAGCTTTGCCCTATGGTAGACCTTCTCTGATCCTACATCTCCTTTGAAAGGATGAAGATAGGGCCTAATAATGAGCTCTTCCTCATGACACTGTTAATTTGCTTTCCATCTTTGAGTCAGAAGGAAAACATGTATACAAATTGCCCTGCCTTACTTCCTGCTTTTAACACCCTGGTAATGAGCTCAAAGAGAGTTACTCTGCTCCCATTCTTGAATGTTACATAGGTAGAATGTAGGTTCCTTTCTTCTGCTGCCCAGAATCACCTACCTGCAGAAAACCACCTTTCGGATGCTTCTCCAGAACTTACGACAAAACAGGCTGAGTGTTTTTGAGTGCCAGGGAATTTTCCTCCTGTATTTTGCCTATCTTCCAGAATATATTACATGGTTATCATAGCATCCAGGAGGTACACAATTTCTATTACTGAGTTGAAAATCACATAATGATTTCTAAAAAGCTCTAGGTATAAAGTAACCTTTTGATCTGGAAGAGTTCAATATTCTATCAAAAGTTCAGTATTAAAGCACTGGACTTCCCCAGTTCTGCATATCCTCCAAGCGATCACATAATTCAAGCAAATATGCCAAGCAACACAGAAGATGGGAGTATTCTAACATGCAAGAAGAATTGAGAAAGCCCCCAAAATTAACGTTTACCCATCTACAACATCGAACTGGAGAATGAAGGTAATATAGGTGAAACTCGAAAAATTAGAATATCGTGCAAAAGTTTATTTCAGTAATGCAACTTAAAAGGTGAAACTAATATATGAGATACTCATTACATGCAAAGGAAGATAGTTCAAACCACAATTTGTCATAATTGTGATTATTATGGCTTACAGTTCACAAAAACCCCAAATCCACAATCTCAGAAAATTAGAATATTACATGATATCAATCAAAAAAGGATTGTACATAGAACAGTATCGGACCTCTGAAAAGTGTAAGCATGCGTATGTACTCAGTACTTGGTTTGGGCCCCTTTTGCAGCAATTACTGCCTCAATGAGGCGTGGCATGGAAGCTATCAGCCTGTGGCACTGCTGAGGTGAAGACCAGGATGCTTCAATAGCGGCCTTCAGCTCTTCTGCATTGTTCGGTCTCATCTTTCTCATCTTTCTCTTGGCAATGCCCCATAGATTCTCTGTGGGGTTCAGGTCAGGGGAGTTTGCTGGCCAATCAAGCACAGTAATCCCACGGTCATTGAACCAGGTTTTGGTGCTTTTGGCAGTATGGGCAGGTGCCAAGTCCTGCTGGAAAATGAAGTTAGTATCCCCATAAAACTCGTCTGTGGAAGGAAGCATGAAGTGCTCCAAAATCTGCTGGTAGACGGCTGTGTTGACCCTGGACTTAATGAAGCATCGTGGACCACCACCAGCAGATGGCATAGGTCCCCAAATCAACACAGACTGTGGAAACTTCACACTGGACTTCAAGCATCTTTCAGTATGTGCCTCTCCATTCTTCCTCCAGACTCTGGGTCCTTGGTTTCCAAATGAGATGCAAAAGTTGCTCTCATCAGAAAAGAGGACTTTGGACCACTGAGCAACAGACCAGTTCTGTTTTTCTTTAGCCCAGGTAAGAGGCTTCTGACATTGTTTGTTTTTTCAGGAGCGGCTTGACAAGAGGAATATGACATTTGAAGCCCATGTCCAGGATCCGTCTGTGTGTGGTGGCTCTTGATGCACTGACTCCAGCTTCAGTCCACTCCTTGTGAAAGTCCCCAACACTTTTGAATGGCCTTTGCCTGACAATCCTCTCCAGGCTGCGGTCATCCCTGCTGCTTGTGCACCTTTTTCTTCCGCACTTTTCCCTTCCACATAACTTTCTATTAATGTGCTTTGACTCAGCACTTTGGGAACATCCAACTTCTTTTGCAATTACCTTTTGAGGCTTTCCCTCCTTATGGAGGGTGTCAATGATGATTTTCTGCACAACTGTCAGGCCAGCAGTCTTTCCCATGATTGTGCTTCCTACTGAACCAGACTGAGAGACCATTTAAAGGCTCAGGAACCCTTTGCAGGTGTTATGGCTTAATTAACTGATTAGCGTGGGACACTTTGAGCCTAGAATATTGAACCTTTTCATAATATTCTAATTTTCTGAGATTGTGGATTTGGGGTTTTCATGAGCTGTAAGCCATAATCATCTCAATTGTGACACATCACGGCTTGAACTATTTTGCTTTGCATGTAATGAGTCTATCTCATATATTAGGTTCACCTTTTAAGTTCCATTACTGAAATAAATGAACTTTTGCACGATATTCTAATTTTTTGAGTTTCACCTGTATAAAGCAATGAGCTCATAGCATTAACTGGCAGGGAATCCATGCCTTTCTTGGTAATGTAGAGTGGTTAACATGCAGGGATTTGTGGCTCACCAAAGAACTACTGAACAGTAGCTGGTTCTTTTTTATCAAAAGTGGCATGTTAATTCATGAGCTTAATGAATACCATGGATCACATAAAGAGACTAGCTTATTTTTGCTTACTAATGAGACATAGCAGTTCCATTTCTAGCTAGGTTGTTATTCCCATACTAGGCAAAATAAAAAGAAGTAGCCTGCACAGTCAAGTCATTTGACCTTATATCCACAACCAAAATAGTCATAGAAGTAGAGAACCTGTGACCAGTCAGAAGGGCATGGTCCCACCGGAGACCTACCAGGGTAATAAGACTTCAACATATTGCCAAATTCCAAGTGCTCCTTTTCAGCGTGCTTTAAATGTCCACATAGGTGGGCTTCTATTAAAATATGAGTAAAAATATTATTTTTATGCCTGAACACCTTAGTCCAAATTCAGAGTGAAAATGAGATGGAGGAAATGTAATGAGGATATGCCCTCTACAAATAATTTGTGGGATTTCTTTGTGCTATGGCAAGCAAGAGATGCAGATATGTCTAACATTGCCAAATATCTATTGATCGTTCATTAAATAAAGAAAAATTCTGTACAATTCCTGGTTATATCAACAGTAGCTGGGAAGAATGCGCAAGACTAAAGTTAACTGAAACAAAACTTTTGGTGTTGTTATCTCAACTTCTTTTATACCCAAAGGGCTCTCAAGGATTAGTATTCTATTTTGTAAACTTCAAAGTGCTGCTATTAACAAGAAGTTCTTCGTGGTTGTAAACATACTATCTAAAAGAGTATTCTTCCTATATGTGCCTTTCTATAGCCTAAAACAGAAACCTTGTTCTCACCCCTTCCCATGCTGAGAGAAAATGAGGAATTGCGTAGGAGCAGACATTTTTAGGGTAACCTCTCCGCTTGTGAACAGCCTCCACAGTATCCACAGTATACTAAATATGTGTGTACTCTCTTTGGGTTCCAGAATTAAGATAATTTGGACCTGTTTAGTATTTGGAAGGCAGACTACGTAGAGAGTACTAGGCTGGATTGATAAATATGAGGGGAAAACATGAAAGAAAGCATACAGTTGCCAAGAAATTTGTACTGGTAGTTAATTAAGAGTCAAATTTGATTCAAAAAGCTTCTGAAGTCAACCCACTTCTATTTTATACAGACATCGAGTCACCTTATAGGTGACAGAGACACATATATACAATTACTCTTAAGAGGGCTATCAATCAACTGAAGGTAATTTGGGCATATTCTCGGGTTAGTGGATCAATTTATAATAGCTTGTTTGTGAGTGAAAGATTCAGTTTAAAATTGCCACAGCTGAGGCATTTGTGTGATATAAGATAGTCTGGTTTTCTTTAATAGGGATATGACATTATTTGAGATCAGGAAAAAGAATAGTCAAACAGTTCAAGAACCACTCAGGTATTAAAAACAAACCACCTTCATATATTATGGCTTAAAATTTGATCACCACCATCCTCAATTAAGCAAATTACAGCTTGTCTGGGTTTGGGTGTCATAACATTATGAGCCCATTTGGTATAGTAGTTAAGGTGCGGGCCTACTGTGAGTTGTAGTCCCACTTCAGACATGAAAGTTGACTGGGTGACTTTGGCCCAGTCACTCTCTCTCAGCCCAACTCACCTCCATGGTTGTTGTTATTGGGGAAAATGGAGGGAGGAGAGAGTATTATGTATGTTCCCTTGGTTATTTATAAAAATAATAAAGCAGGATAAAAATCAAGCTAATTAATTAATCTAAAAAAGTGAAAGTTCCTGAACTCATTTATGTTGTTTTTGTGAAGGCAATCCCTAAAGTGCCCCTCCTGAGCCTTTTATTGCATTTATATCTCTAACCTACCTTATTAAAATCATGTAAGATGGCAGATGATATTCCATCCCAGTATAAAATTAAGACATTGTTTCAAGCAGTAAAATGTTTGAGCCTTGCTAGTGTTATGCAATATCAAGCATTAAAAAGCACTGAAATGGCAAATCACTGGTAATCTTGGATTTTCCAGTGGGGAATTTTCTTCTTTAATTTTCCAACATGATACTATGCATATCTGCATTTCATGAGGGGATTTCCAACCACATGCATTAGTTGTGAACAGTTTGAATTTCTGACTTTTTGTTGCAATACTACTTCCTATTTCTATTTTTGAACTATCTCAAGTGAGAAAAAATGTTCAGGTTTCATCTATCCCTTCTGTTTAACAAAACAAAAAGATACTATATTAAGATAAATCAAGAAACAAACCAATTTTTACTGATGCTACTGTACAGGGCCTCTTCCATAAAAAAACAATCCGAACATTAATCATACTGCTCAGATGCACTATTTTTTACTTTTATATGTGTTTCCTCAAATATAAAGCATGCAGTGCATTATGTTTGTTCGATGCAGAGTTGTTTATGGAGTTCCAGGTTACAGGACTAAAGTTGGCCCTGGTTAGGCAGCCGGGCAAGTTTATTTTATTTATTTGTTTGTTTGTTTATTTGTTTATTTATTTCATTTGTCAATTGCTTACAAGATAATAGTATAAGTATATACATAGTTATGAATACATGAAATGGGTACATATAAGAAAAATAAAAGAAATAATAGGACAGGGATGGTAGGCACATTGGTGCGCTTATGCACGCCCCCTACAGACCTCTTAGGAGAGGGGTGAGGTCAATAGTAGACAGTCTAAGCCTTAGACTCTAAGGTTAAAGTTTTTGGGGTTTGGGGAAGAAACCACAGAGTCAGGTAGGGTATTCCAGACATTGACCACTCTGTTGCTGAAGTTGTATTTCTTGCAATCAGGTTTGGTGCGGTTAACCTTGAGTTTGTATCTATTGTGTACTCTTGTGTTGTTATGGTTGAAGCTGAAGTATTCATCAACATGCAATTCATTGCAATGTATGATTTTATATACCATACTTAGATCAGACCGAACAGCATAATTCAAGGTTTTCTAGGTCTAGAATTTCAAGTCTGATGGCATAAGGTATTCTACAATGAGTAGAATACCTTATTCTACTCATAAGATAGAGCAGAGTAGAGTAGAGAACTCTTCTTGTGAAATATTTCTGGACTTTCTCAACTGTGCTAATATCAGATACATAATGTGGGTTCCAGACTGATGAGCTGTATTCAAGTATTGGTCTAGCAAATGTTTTGTATGCTCTAGTCTAGTTAGTAGTGTAATATTACCAGAGAAAAAGCTACGTAGGATTAGGTTAACAACTCTTAATGCTTTTTGGGCTATGTAGTTACAGCTCTAGCACTTAGATCAGTCATGAACCTCAACAAATACTTTATTAAGCATTCCTTCAATTTAATCTATCCCTTACACTAAAGCCACAGGGTAAACTCAACTCTTTTCTTTGTGTGTATGCATATATCTCTTTGAATGTTAGTCCTGGAGACTGCCCAAGCAAGTCCCTAGTTTTCTTGGCAAGATTTTGAAAGTCCTTTGCTTTGTGAGAAAAAGCAACTGGCCCAAGGTCACGCAGCTCTCACTTTGTGCCCCAGCAGGAACTAGAATTAGAACACACACACACACACACAGTACAAGCGTGTGTTGAGTTGCATAACCTATGGTCCCTTCCTGCAAACCCATTTTTTTTCCTTGCTTAGTTTGTCACAGAGTCAATGCATCTACATTTTGTTTCAGGTAACCAATCCAGCTGCAGTTAACCACTGATTAAACCCCTAGGGGAGATACTTGATCTTAGGAGGAGGATCAGCATCTTCAAAATAATCTCACCAGTACAATCAATGATATCAATTCATTTGAACAGCCAGCAAGGACAGGCTGGGTTATCCCAGGAAATGGTGATACAGCAATGGCTGAGCTATGCAAAAAATTCCTAGTGAAGAAAGGCTCTAAGCTGGTGACCATGCTTTATTGGAAAAAATAAAGGTCTAAGTGGGGGGTGGGGGGGTGGGGGCAAAGTGAAAGAAAAAAGTGGAAGACAAAGCAAAAGACAAAGCAAAACTTTACAAAATGCCGGTTTTAGTAAAAATGAATAAAATCGAACAGTATATGTTCAGTATATTTATTTTAAAAACACAATTCAATTTCTTAGAAAAAATGTAATAAATGATCCAAAGCTAGAAGAATGTTGTATATGCTTTGAGGCTGCAACAGGACAGTGTTGGAATAATATTGTGATTATGTTGCAGTTAAAAATGAGTTAAACATTTCTGGTGAGATGAAGACTCTGTCCTAGGATGTGGCAGAAAAGAGATACAGTATTTCCAAAGCATGTGCTGAGGTTAGATGAAAAGCAGAAAAGGACTGTACTTTAAAAAAAAAAAAAGATTAAATATGCAGGTGCTTGCTCCATCTTGCATGATATTGAAAACGGGAGCGAAAACTTAGTATACTTCCTCTTTATGGAATGAGGCAAATTTCTCTTCATGTTTTGCTTTTCAAATCAAGGACCTTCCTGATTTGAAAAGAAAGCCAGTAATCTCACGGAGAGACATTGCTAAATTAGTGGAATAAAAAAACAGAAATACTTTTAACTATGAGAAAGACCCAGGTGACTCTAGGTTTGCCAGCATTACAACTTCCTTTGCGCTTAACACTTTCCTCAAGCAATGTTGTGATTTTGTTTCTACAAAGTTAGATATCAACAATCGCAACCTGCAATCCTTTCTATCCTCTTCGCCCCAATCGGCAAGACACACAGCCTCCCGCCCCTCCACCTCCACCCTCTTCCCCGTAATTTATCGCTTTATTTGCTTTTAAATACCCGGAAAGACAGGATCGGTGCTATCATATGCCCCACCCCCACCCTCCCCGGGGAAAAAAACACCTCAGGTTTTGCAGCGGCTGCTACCAAGCCGTTCCTTCGCCCTCGCTTTGGAAAGGAACCCAAAGGTAGCTCCTATAGAAGCTGCTGCTCCAGCGACGAAGGTGGAGCTTTGATGCGGGGTGGCTGGCTCGGCAGACGGACAAAGCGCACTTGGGGGCGGAGGCGCTTTGTTTTTCTCCTTCCCTAACTACGGAAAGAGGGATTTCCCGGGTTTGTTAGCGCGGCGGCACTGCTGCCTCAGTTTTGTTCAGGGGCCAAGGTTCACCTGGACCTCGAGAAAAGGAAACAAAGTCGTGTTGGGTAGAAAGAGTGCGGTGAGTTCCGGAGAAACAACGCGCAGCAAAGCGAAGGCAGACAGCGAGAGCGTCCCAGAGTGACGAGGCGTTGCCAAGAAGTGGGCGCCCGAGCCTATTCCTGAGGAATTCACCGCGGGGATTCGACGGGGCCCGCGTGCAAGTCGCGTAGTAGAGGCAAGCCAGGACGGCGATCGGCGATGGTAGCCGAGAATGATCCCGACGAGAAGCTGGTGGTGTCTAATTTGCGGCTGCGTCTTCTGGTCAAGTAAGGAGCGAGCCTAGATTGGAAAACCCGCGTGTTTTTATTTTTTATTTTTTAGCAGTCCTTGGGAGTAGGCTTTGGAAAAAGTTGGGCGGCCTTTCTCTGGCCGAAAGTGGCGGCTGCGTTTGCCTCTCCTCACGTATTAAACGGCGCGCTCGGTTTGTTACACTTGGTCGCGAGTGAAAGGGAAGGAGGTAGGTCCTTCGGTGGCTTGACAGAACTCGCTGGTTGAAGGTACTGCTGGTTAAACATGCCGTGTCACCCTAATACAGGGGTCCCCAAACTTGGCAACTTTTAAGATTTGTGGACTTCAACTCCCAGAATTCTCCAGCCAGCTATGGTCAGCTATGCTGGCTGGAGAATTCTGGGAGTTGAAGTCCACAAGTCTTAAAGTTGCCAAGTTTGGAGACCTCTGCCTAGATAGATGGGTAACACAGCAATTCAGACAAGGGAGAAAAGGATCCTGTGTGGGGCATGTGAGATGCTCTACTGTCAGTGGAAGTGGGAAACTGGCTTTGTGGGTTTTTTGAGCGTCTTGGTTCCAAATTTCTATGGAGAGTCTCAGTCTCCAGCTCACAGTTGTCCCAAAGGTGCTTTTTCAAAAGGCAACTGAACTTCATTTTTCATGAAGATGTTTCACTTCTCATTCAAGAAGCTTCTTCAGTTCTGATTGAAAGGTGGAGATCGGAAGGATTTATTAGGACTCTTTCTGAGTCGTGGAGGCCACTTGGAGGTTTATCTGAGGGCACATATAAACCTCCAAGTCACCTCAATGAGTCTCAGAAAGAGTGCTAACAACCAGATGACTGCAAGGAATATAAATCCTTCCATTCTCCACCATTGAGTTAGAACTGAAGAAGCTTCTTGGATGAGAAGCTAAGTGTCTTCAAGGAAAAACAAAGTCCAATTGCCTCTTGGAAAAATATCTTTGGATCTTGGTTTCAAGTCTTCTTTGCATTTTAGTCGAAGTTTTTTTCAAGGCAGTGGTGGATGTTGCCAGGAGAGAAGAGCCAAGTATTCCAGTTCACAACAGATTTCTCACCTCGGAGAAGAAACAAACTTCTCTGACTGAGTGGACAAAGGAAATTCCCAAAAGGATTTGCTTTGACCAGACTCTAAGGCAACCTCATAGTTCTAGTCATAGAATACTGTTGGTAGCTGAATAAGGGATGTGTGATAAGCTTTTAGGAAATTGGATTTGATGGTTTCTAACTGCAAATATTCTTATAGGTGCACAAGTGAGCATCACAGATACAAGTTTAATTTAATTGCTTCGGGAGCATAGTTATTACAGTACTATATTTGCATATTTATTAATTACAAATAATGCTCTTTGGGCTCTTAAATTAAGCTCATTCAATTGATTAGTCCAGCAAGTGGAAAATTGAAAATGAACACCTGGATAAGTAAAGGTCCTGACCTGCTCAGTAAGTCTCCTATTGAACTTATGTCTAATTGGTGACTAAAGACACTTTCTTGAATGCTTTTACCTCCATTTTACTGTCAGCCGTCCATCCCATCAACCATGCTATCCTTCTGGAGTGGCTTGGGGGTTGGAAGTGGGAGGTTCTGTGTTGTCCCGGTTCACTTCCTTCCTCTGTTCTGACTGAAGAAACTTCTTGCATGAGAAGTGAAGTGTCTTCAACAAAAAAACAAACTAAACAAAAAAAGAAAGTCCAGTTGCCTCTTGAAAAAAGCACCTCTGCATGTTGATAGGAAGAGAAAGGTCTGGACCTTATCCCCTGCTTTGCAGGGTTCCTCAAGTATTTCCTCAAGTATTTTCTCCTCTTCTGTTTAACATTATGTGAAGCTGCTGGGTGAGACCATCTGCCACCATGGCCTGAGATATTATCAATGTGCTGATGACACCCAGCCATATGTCTCGGCCTATGGTGAGTTTCTGGAAATATCCCCAAATATCCCTTTAATACCTTACATGCCCACCCCAAGAAACTTTTCTCCATGGCTCAAATTGATGTTACCCATTAGAGTGACAACAGGCAGCTTTTCCTATGAAAGAAGAAAAAAAAAATCATTTTCTCTCTTTCCACAATGTGGTCAAGGCAGTTTTACTGTCAAAAGTGGGGGAAACCCCAACTAGATGAATTTAGAACATTTGTTCAAACAGTTTCTGAACTTAATCACCATTAATTCAAGCAGGTTGCCCAGAGAAGGGATATTAGCTTCAATCTTGTAGTTCAAATCTTCTGATCCAATGATCGGGAGTCAGAGGAGGAGAATATTCTCTCCTATGGCCACATTTGCTGGATAGAACACCTCTTTCACATGAAGAGGAATTTATAACCTGCTCCATTCAGTGTAAAAAGCCATGAGGTGAAAAGAGCAGAATAACACATGCTTTACCACCTACTTTCTCCTCGTTGTCAGGACTGAAAGTTTACCAAAGATATTGGCCCAGAATGTGTTTTGTATATCTTTGCAGAATGCACAGCATAAACAGGCATGGCAATATGATTGATTTCATCATCAAAATATCGAGCCAACATCTCAGAAAGCTATCAAAACTTCCATATGATTTAGCTTGGTCAGATCGCAAAATGCTTGGAATTATATAGAAACATTTTGCTATAAAACAGTGGAATGATGGTCAAAAAAAGAAAATGTATATTTTCCCACACACGACCATTTACAGTAGTAAAACTAATCATGAAGTCATATCGGTAGTTGATCAGATTGAAACATTTTTTCCCCACCTTTCCCAATTTGTTTTTTACTTTCAGATGGGATATATATACATCAAACAACAAAATAGACTCTGGATAGTAGGATAGGAACATTTACAAGCATTTGCTTAAAGATCCATTATCCATAAAATGACCCAGACTTCAGCACTAGCACTCCCTATATTGGTGAAAACGGGTGCTGTCCTGGTTTCTCTTCTATTCATTTATTTCCCAAGAGGAGATCATTCCTATCTGCAGCAGCAGCAACAAAGATAAAAGGTTTTTAAAAGTGCTTTTTACCAGAGGCTTTATGATGTAATCTATCTGGGTTTCTATTTCCATATTCATTTGGTAGCATTTGGGTAATGACAAAACCAGTTTCCAGTCATGTCATTCAGGAGATTGCTAAACTCAGAAACCTCCTTTTGATGATGATAACTTTGTTACGCTCTGCCTCTGAAGTGAAAAACTACAGGAATCTATTTTCAGGAATCTTCAAAATGGCAATATGATTCAGAGTTTCAACACCGTGTTTATTCTTTATTAACCAGCTGAGACTTGCAGTTGAAAATTTTGGGAAATTACATCACTATATAATTATCTATCTATCTATGTGTGAATTGTTTGTGCTGTCAATGAAAGAATGTCAAAATCATGCATTGAACAATATTTATTTTTTTCATATTACAGTACATGCAATTATCCAAGAGCCTCAAAACATACGATTAAATTCAGTTATGCTTAACAGTGTTCTCCTATGGGATCCATCAAATTTTTCTGAAGGAAATGTAACTTATACAATTCAATATAAAAGGTAAATGTAAGAATGGATAATTTTCATACTACATATGAAAAATGTAATTTGTTTCTTTTATGTTATTCACATGTTCTCTTATACAATTGAAAATATATTTCAGCTTATTCTCTAAATTTATTTTCCCATCCATTTATATGGGAGGAAAATTTCTTTGGATAACAACTTATAATATGAAATTTGAATTATATTGTGCATATATTCCAAAAGTTCTGTAACCTTTTAAAAAGAAACTAGTGATGGTTTACCACAAACATTAATTTTAGGATAACCTATATTCCAGAATTGGATGAACTTTACATGTACAGGCAACTTTAAAAAACAAAATATCAGGTATATTATCAAATATATCAAGTATTTTATGGAGATATAATTATGATGTCTTCACATGTGACCTCTTCAGATTGCTTTTTTTACATCTTAACAGAGAATATCTGCTAAGGATGAAACAACAAAGAAAAGATAAAATGCCTTGTAGCTGAAAATGATAGGAACGGTGTATGGATCTATCCCTATTGCCTCAACTTTTTGACATTAAAAATTAATTAATTTAATATTTCTACCCAATCTATCAATATATTATGAGGAGCTGGTAATAGTAAAGCATCAAGTAAAGTGTGGGGGGAAAAAATCAGTCTGGTGGAGTAGTTAACATGCCAGGCTAGAAACCAGATTGAGTTCTAGTCCTGTCTTAGACACAGAGCCAGCTGAGTGGCCTTGAGCCAGTCACACACTCTGAGCCCTAGGAAGCAGGCAATGGCAAACCACTTTTGAAATTCACATTTATCCCTGACTCTTGTCTCATCTTATTTTACTAGACACATTGCATTCACATTATTTTTATGTTCCTGTTAACAATCTAATTCCCACTCACAAACAACGAAGTACAAGAAAAATACATTATTACTGTGTTCCCCCGAAAATAAGACCCAATCAGAAAATAAGCCCTAGCATAATTTTAAGCATGTGCCTAATATAAGCCCTACCCCAAATTATGGCGTGTCCCATGCGCCTGACCAGTCTCAAAGAGGACCTGGTCTGACTTCGCCCAGGAGATGCATCTGATCAAGGGCCACTACCGGCCTGCAAGCACCTTCAACTGGGCTCCCAGAGTGGTCCAAGGGGATGTCGAGGCCCTCTTCGCACAGCACGCTGCATGGAGTGGCATGTGGTCCAGTGTCGTCTCAAGTGCTCGAAGTGCACCCTGCACTTTAATGACCCCATGTTTCCATAGCAGTGGCACCTGATGAGCAAGTGGTGGAGCATGGGTGGCTTGTCTGCAGAGGTCCTGAGGTGCATGGGTATGGGGTGCATGGGGCAACTCCACCCCACAGCCACCTGCCTTGCCTGACCTTGTGGTAGCAGTGGCACACCATATGGCTGTCTGCTCTGTTGTGGGTGCGAGCAGACAGACAGTGGGACAGAGTGGGTGGGTGGGTGGGCTCCTGCTGGATGGGGCTGCTGCTGCTGGTGCCTATAAGACATCCCCCCAAAATAAGCCCTAATGGGTCTTTTAGACCAAAGGCATAAAAATTAATCTACTTGCTGCAGTTTGTTGCATTTATTATCACATGCATTTGTCCATGACATTTTTCGACCAACGTAATTATCTTTGATACATTAATTTACAGATCACTAATCCATACTGAATTATACTATATTGTATTGTTTAGTTGCTAAATCGTGGCGACCACCTGGACCATAGCACACCAGGCCCCCCTTTCTTCCCAGAGTTTGCCCAAATCCAGGTCCCTTGGGTTGATGACACTATCTAACCATCTCATCCTTTGCTGTCCCCTTCTCCTTTTGCCCTTAATCTTTCCCAACATCAGGATCTTTTCCAGTGAATCCTTTCTTCTTATTTGGTGGCCAAAGTATTTGAGCTTCAGCTTCAGGATCTGTCCTTCCAAAGAACAGTTGGGGTTGATTTTCTTTAGGATTGGCTGATCTTACACTGTATACTGAGCCATTATAAATCTGAGAACTCAAATGATTATATAAATCATTTGAGTTCTCAGCCAACAATACACTTTTGTATATGTGTGTGTGTGTGTGTGTGTACATACACAAAAGTGCGTGCCTTTGTGTCCCTAATAAGCACATCTCTAACAACACTATGCATTTTTTGCATATTTGTCAATGAATGCATTAACCAGCCTAGAGCAAATTACCTATTCTCGCTTTATTCCCTCCTCACCATTCACCAAATGTACCATTTATTTTCTCATCATATGCTGCTCTTATCACTATATACAAAAGGTTCCATAATTGAAGCTTATTGCTTTTATCCTATACTTTCTCTAAATCAACACACATTTGCTTCCCAAATTTGGCTTCCCCCTTATATCCTTTCAATAATTTTTTTTTCTCAAACAACTTCCAGGAATTCTTAACCAACTAACTCCTCTTCAGTTTTTACACTGACACTTTCCCCCCCCCCTTTATATAAGATAACAATAACAGCCTTCTTCCAATTGTCAGGCAGAGATGGAATCTTCAGACTCATTTTAAGACCCATCTTCAGCCACTCTACAAAGATTTTAACACTTTTCCAGTTATCCCACCTGCACATGAAGCTTTGCCATTTTTAAAACCCTTCTCATAGTAGTTGACTTCTTTTCCATTTTCCCTTTTCTTTTACTATTCAATACAACATTGTTAAACTCACATAAATCTGTAACATATGTTTCTAGCACTGTTTCACTTTGAGTTCACCCAAATAATTTCACTTTTACCTTTCACTATATTCGTTCTGCTGGAGGCTTATTGCAAAACGTCACTTTCATTATCATTTTAGCAATCATTCTCTTTTATCCATTTTTCCTCATACATAGCCTCTTTCATTTCATTAGCCTATAAAGCATCCTTTTTCATGCTTTTCCATTAGTGTATCTCCAGGCACTTTTTAGACACTTTGTAACAGCTTCCTCATTATGTTTTGCATTAATTCTGTTAGGAACTTAACCAATTTCTACCACTAGTTCACGTAATTTCTAGTCCTAATTTCTGCAATTACAGGTGGTCCTTGACTTATAACAGTCAATTTAGTGACCGTTCAAAGTTACAACAGCACTGAAAAAAAATGACTTACAATTGTTTTTCACACTTACGAGTCACAACCTTCTGCAGCATCCCCAGGATGATTCATACTTATAACCATTGCTGTATCCCAAAATCATGTGATTCCCTTTTGCGACCTTCTGACAAGCAAAGTCACTTAACAGCCAGATTTCTAACTTATCAACTACAGCAGTTCACTTAACTACTGTGGCAAGAAATGTCATAAAATGGGGCAAAATTCACTTAATAAATGTCTCACTTAGCCACAGAAATTTTGGGCTCCATTGTGGTCGTAAGTCAGGGACTACCTGCATTCAAGTTTCTCTCTCTCACTTCTTTCCTTTTCTTTCAAGTCTATTTTCCCACAGATCCACTTCTGATATTATCAAAAATAGTCTGTCCCACATTCAAAACCTTTCACCATGCAATTATTTATCAGCTGTACTCCATAATACGAAGTCACCTTCATTTAGATTTATTGTAGCATTTCCCTTATTTTTTTAAAAAAGAGTAAGTTGGGTTAATGATAAGGACAGAATAAGCAGGTTTGCAGATTTGGCCAGTATGCCACAAATCTTCGCATACTCAAAGCATGTCCATAATATTCTATGCAAGCTAGGCTCTCTAATGTAGAGACTACTTTGCAATGCAACATACACTTTGTGCACAATTACTTAGGCAAGTTGTATTTTGGAGGATTAATTGTATTATTGAACAACTACAGTTCTCTTGATCAAGCCCAAATGTTAATAAATCTCAAACCTGAATATTTAAGAAAGTAAAACTGAAGTGTTGGCTTTCTTAGGAAAATATCCATGTGTGCAGAATTATTGGGCAACTAAAATGTAAAATGAAAATTTTCCCATCTCTTTTGTTTATTTGCATCTGTTAAAGTGAGAATAATATACAAACAATGTACAAATAAATATTTCTGATTTAAAAAAAAAAATCAGTGACCAACATAGCCACTCTTATTTTCAATTACAGTCATCAGTTGATCTGTTGATGATCAGCTTTTTGTGCAGCAGCAACCACAGCCTCCCAGACACTGTTCAGAGAGGTGTCCTGTTTTCCTTCACCACAAATCTCCCATTTAAGAATGGCTCACAAGTTCTTAATAGGGTTTAGGTCAGGTGAGGAAGGGGCTCATGTCATTATTCTTTCATCTTAAGGCCTTTATTACCTAACCACGCAGTGGAGTACTTTGATGCATGCGATGGAGCATTGTCCTGCATAAAAATCATGGTCTTCTTGAAAGATGCAGACTTTTTCCTGTACCATTGCTTGAAGGAAGTATCTTCTAAAAATTGGTAGTAGGTTTGGGAGTTGATTTTGAGTCCATCTTCAGCCTGAAAAGGTCCAACTAGCTCCTCTTTAATAATACCAACCCATACCAATACCCCACCTCCACTTTGCTGGCGTCTTGAGTCGAAGTGGAGCTCTGTGCCCATTACTGATCCAGCCATGGGCACATCCATCTGGTCTGTCAAGAGTCACTCTCATCTCATTAGTCCAGGAAGTCTTTGAAAAATCTGTCTTTAGGTATTTCTTGTCCCAGTCTTGCTGTTTCAACTTATGTGTCTTGCTCAGTGGTAGTCAGGTTTCAGCCTTCTTTACTTTGGCCATGTCTCTGAGCATTCAACACTTGTCATTCTGGGCACTACAGGTAGGTTGCAGTTCTGAAATATGACAGCACTGCAGGATAATGGGTTACTGGTAACTTATGTGATTTATTATTTGATTCTTCTCAAATCTTTGGCAGTTAATATTCATCTTTTTTTCTGAACAAGGCTTCTTTATTGAGGCCTTGTTGACTATTTGCAATAAGACGTTTGATTATTCTGTGATCATGCCCCAATACCATAGCAATTTCAAGAGTGCTCTATCTCTCTGAAATACTTTTTACAGATTTGATTTTTCAGTTAAAATCAGTTAAATCTCTTTTTTGGCCCGCTTTGAGGAAAAGAAGCTGCCTAATAATTATGCACACTTGGATATAGGGTGTTGATCGCCTTAAGCCACACCTTCCCAAATACACATCATCTGATATGCTTATATCCACTAGGCATTCAAGTTTATACAGCTTCAAGGTGGAAAATATGAATAAAAATGATTATATAGTCAAAATACACATTTGCCTGATAATTGTGCACATAGTATACATCCCATCAATGAAGAAGTACATTTAGAATACAAAGATTTTGGAGGAACTTTACAATTAAGAATAACTTCACTGAAATATCTTCATCATTTATAGATATTAACAACCATTTTCTAGAATATTATCTTCATTTGTACAAATTTACCTGAAGGTAGAAATCTTTAATATTGTTGTTAATTCTGTAAATTTCTTTTTAACTTTTAAACATTTTTATTGGGATGTGTGTGATTCATATTTAACTTTGTCCTTTTTTTTATTCATTTCCATCTTCATTTGATAATGTTGTTTGCTTCAATTAAAAAGAATATAAATAAGAAAATACTTTTCTATGTAATATACTACATCACAAATTAACTATCAAATTAAATTAAATTAAGTTCAGCCTTAATTTTTATCTAAAATTTATCCTGAATAAAAAGAACTGGACTTCTTAGTAGATAGGTATACATATATTTCTTCTAATCAATATAAGATGTTTCTGTTGATATAAGATAAATCTGAAAATGAATATTATTGTTCAGCATATGAAAGAAAGCTTTTTATTCTCATAATTAATTTTGTTTCCTTTTTTAAAAATAGTTTGAGGTCAATATTCATTGACTTGTGCCAAAGGACATACTTCACAGAGTGCAATATTTCAAATATACCTAAATACAGTTTTTCCAATTTAAGAATTCGAGCTGAATTTGAGAATAAACAGTCGCATTGGATATATCTTAACTTCACACCATTCAAGGACAGTAAGTTATTCTTCTAATTCCCTATTATAATGTATATGGATTTGAAGTATTAGAGCACAGAACTATTTTTATAAGTGTCATGATGAGAGGATACTATTTTTTAAAAAATGTCAGGTTTGAATCTTTTTGAACTATACTACCGTGTTTCTCATATAATAAGGCTGGGTCTTATTTATTTTTTTTGAGCCCTGAAAAAATGGCTAGGTCATCTTTTCGGGGGTGACTTAATTCCCCCCCTTGCATCTTCGGGCGGGTGGCGATGGCTTGGATGTTGACCTCGGCATTGGTGGGGCACTTCGTATCAGGGTCAACGCAGGCAGCACCATATCCAGGTGTGCAACAAAAGTACTTCCTAACGGCAAGCCCCCCCCCACCATTCCCCCCATTTCGCATGTTTTAATATAGGCCTTAATTTGGGGGGAGGGGCTTAATTTCATTTCATGCCTATAAAACATGCTGCGACTTCCTATTGGGGGAGGCCATATTGTTGGAGAAATAGGGTAGTAAGGTATAAAGATAAATGGTGATAACTTGCCACTGATATTTTTAATAGAAAATTATCAGCGTTAATAAAGTTCACCCACTCTCTTAATAGTGGGACCAATGAATAGCTTTAATAAAGTTCAGGAATGAAAAGCTTAAAAGCAATGCATCCATCCTCCCCCAAAAATGTTAAAATTAGGAAATAATAATATTAATATTTCACAGAGGCTATTTCCTTTCTTGCAATTTACTTCTGCATATTTGTCCTGTTGGATTTGAATATTTTCCTTAGTAATAAAACATTGTTCTTAATTCTCGGTCCCAAATGAAACTAATCTCCTATATCACTGTATGTTCTAGATTAAAATAATTTTTCTTGCCTCAAGTGGCAGAGTTTCCTACAGAAACAAAACCTGTATAAAAATGGCAGCTTCTTTCGAGTGCAACCAGATCAAGTTACCTGTTTTCAGAGAGAATTAGAAAAGCTATCATTAAGGGAAAAAAAATTAAGAGTTTTCTCTTATTGTTATCTTCCAGAATCTCAGGTCAGCTGCAAAAATGCTTTAAAAGTCAGCTGTCCTTTCCCTTTCTATCTGTTTTCAACAGAGCACAGAAGTGAAAGGAAATAGGATTTGAATAATGGCAGTGTCTTCAGGGCAGGCTTTAAAAACTAAAGATGATGTCGTGACATTGCATTAATGTTGCAATCTTTAATTGTGTTATTATGTTAACTTTTAAAATCACATCCTGCAAGACACCCCTAGTAATAGGTATGCTGAATTGTTGCAATATTCAGATCTTACATTACTGCCTCTTCCAAGCATCCTACTTGGGAAATTTAAAGACTTTTAACAAATTGTGGGAACCATCTCAATATTTACTGCAATCCTGGGAGTCATGTTGTTGTTTTTTATTTTACCACTGACTACTTATCAAGTTTACCATTAAAACAAAGGCAAATTTTAAAGATCCCTTCAAATGGAAATGGAAAAAGAGTTCCTTCCTGTTTTTTTTCCAGTTACAATTCTGTGTTAATATCAAAGACTTCTTATTCTGTCCTCTATAATTACTGACTGAATGTATAAAGGCAGATAGATAACTCCACAAAGCATCAATACAAAATCTTTCTATTGGTTCATCAGGCATCCTCAAGATAACTCACACTTATGACGAGATTCTTCTCAATGTCCAATTCTTTGCATATCTGTCTTTCTGGGTAAAAAGATGGTTATCTCTTATCCTGATAATGAAGGAGCAAAGGGTGAAGCACCAGAATGCTGTTGGGGTCCAAGTAAGAGTGAAGAAACCTCCCTCAACCCACCAAGGGTCAATTCAGTGACCAATCAGGATTACAGATGTGGCCACATGACATGAACTACATTTCCCAGGATACCTTAACTACATTTACCATGATGCATTCCCTTAAGGGGACAGCTCCCAATTACTAACTAACTACACCAATTCCCATTAACTATAACTGGCTGGACAGCACACTTCTCAAAAGTAATTAAGTGTACTTGCAAATATATTTTTTAAAAGCTGGTTTCAAGAAATCTCTAGAGAATTGATTAACAACCTTGAGTATCAGGAATGAAATTAGTAATAGACTTCATTCAAAATATAGGAACGGATTCAGACATACATGGAGCTGACAGCACAGCACATTTAATTTATTGTATTTGCCAGAGATTGCAATCGAGTTGTGGTACAGTTTTGTATACCTAAGTGAGCTGTAGTTCAAAAGTGAATACCTAAAGAAAATCTGAAAAATAATGACTGGTATAAACTTTTCTAAACATTTGTTAGATGTTTTTTTTTTTGCTTGCGTATGGCTTTTGCCTTTTCTCACAATCACTTATCTTAATTACTGGCTTTGGAATGCTATTCTCCCTTCTTCCTTCTGGAATTGGAAGGCCTAGCTAAGGGGGAGGGGGAGGAGACAATGTTTGTTCTTTTTTTTATCCAAACATTTGCTCATCAGTAACCTGGACACCAACCTAAACCACCAACATTGACTTTTTAAGTATTGCTTTAGTTATTTTCTATGTTGCTTCTTCTCAGATGTCCCCAAAGTGCTTTTTCAAGAGGCAACTGGACTATCTGGTTTTTCTTTGAAGATTTTTTGCTTCTCATCCAAGAAGCTGCTTCAGCTTGGGCTGGATGGTGGGGAAAAGAAGGATTTATATTCCTTGCAGACAGCTGTCATTTGCATTCTTTTGGAGAGTAGTTGAACCACCTGGAGGTTTATCTGTGTTGTCAGGGTCACCTGAGTAGTGTAAATGGTTATGGAACCTTTTTAAAACAGTTGAAAGGACTGTGTTGTAGACTCGAGATAGATGATGTCATGTCCCTCCCCTTCTGTTGAGAGAGGGCTGTTCAATTTTGACATAGATGGCCTCTTCGACCCCTCTTTCAAAGCAGCAGTCCTCTCTGTCCAAAATGTGGACTTTGTTGTCTTCAAAAGAAACCGACCTTCTCTCTAACTTCCAGTTCATGTTCTCAAATATTTTATTTCCCAAAGCTTATCTGCCAGCTTGTTAGTGCTCCCAGGGAGTTTAAGGTGGGTTCTCTCTCCTCTCCCACATTTCACCTTGTGCCTAGGACTTCTTATTACTGAGTATTTTCTTTAATCTTTCCGCCATTACCGCCACAAAAATTTTGTAATCTGTTTAGAAGGGATATTAGAGTTTAGAAGGGATATTGGTCTGTATTTCTTTGTTTGATTAGCATCTGTGCCCTCTTTTGGAATCAATGTTATGTATGCTTCCTTCCAAGATTCTGGTATTTGAGCATCCAGTAATACCCCATTGCAAGCCTCTAGTCTAATAACATCTCTAATATATAACCTATTTCTTTGTATAGCTCATTTGGTGACCCATCTGGGCCTGGCATTTTATTTCTTTTTTGTTTTTGAATCGCCAACTTTAGCTCGTCTAAAGTTATTTCTTTATTCAACATCTCTTTTTTGTCTTCTGATATTGGATAGAGAGTTCCTCCTTTCAAATATTCTTCTATTTTATTTAAGTCAACTGCTTCTTGTTTATAAAGATCTTCGAAGTACTCTCTTACAATTTCCTTTTTTTTCTCCTGATCTGTCTCTATTATTCCATTTTTATCCTGTAATTGGTATATCGTTCTTTTCTGATTTTCTTTTCTTAATTTATATGCTAGCCACTTTCCGGGTTTATTTGCATGTTCGAAATAATTTTGTTTTGTATATAATAATTTTTTAATTAGTTCCTCTTGATCTAAAATGTTCATCTCATGTTTAACTAATGCTAGTTTGTTTCTGATATACTCATCTCCCAGGGTTTCCATTTGCTTATTTTCCAATTTCTCTATCCTTTTTGTTAGGGCTTTCTGCTTCCTCTCTTTTTCCTTGTTTCTGTTTGCTATATAAGCTATTGATATTCCCTTTAAATATGCTTTCATTGTATCCCATAAGTTCTGCAATGAGGTATCCTGTTTTCTGTTAAATTTGAAAAAACTGATCATTCTTCCTTAACTTTTTGAATATATTCTTTCTCTTTAAGTACGTGGAATTAAGTGTCCATCTACCTTTTTTATAATGACTATTTTTCCATACTATTTGTATCGGGTTGTGGTCTGCCCATGTATTAACCAAAATTTTTATGTCCTGAATCTCTTTATATAGCTCACTATTTACCCAGGCCATATCTATCCTGGACCATGATTTGTGTGGGCTGGAGTAGAAAGTGAACTGTGATATTCCTGGGTTCCTTTTTCTCCATGCATCCACTAATTCTAATTCTTTGGCCATCTCTATAAATTTCTTAGCCAATGTATTCCGTTTCTTAAATTGTCTTTGTTCACATGCATAATCTTGTCTATTATCTGTTATTGCATTATAGTCTCCTATTATGCAAATTCTTGGGTTTCCAAATTCTATTAATTTTTCATATAGGTTTTTGTAAAATTCACTTTGGTTTTTGTTAGGGGCATATATCCCCACCAATAATGTCTTTTTATTTTGTATTACCACTTCTACCATTACCATTCTTCCTAATTCATCTTTGTAAATCAATTCTGAAGCTATATCTTCTTTTATATATAATACCAATGTTGCCAATTGTGCCAATGTTGCATAAATTTTCTCCAACTTTTTATTTAATAGGTACCCTTTATCTGTATTCTTTATATGAACCTCTTGAATACATATTATATCCGCTTTTTGTTTTTCTAGTTTAAAGAATATTCTTTTTCTCTTAGCTGGGTCATTTAACCCATTAATATCTATAGATATCAAATTAACTCCTTTATCCATTCCTTCCCTACTTCTATCCCTCAATATTTTTACCCGTCGTTTGACTTTTCATCCTCACTCCTATTTCTTCTCTTCCCAATGTCTCCTCATCTCCTTCCCTCTCCTTCTCCTTCTCCCTCCCCCTGCTTCTGGATTGTAGCTCTTCTTGGCTCAGAATTTCATGATCATCTCTGTTGCTCAGTTCTTCCTCTGTTCCTCCTATTTGGTCGAAGAACTCTTGAGCTTTGGTTAG